TTGTCTGTCATAGTTGACGTGTACCTATGATGAAAATTACAGGCCTCTCTCATCTTTTTAAGTGGGAGAACTTGCACATTTGGTGGCTGACTAAATACTTTTTTCCCCCACTGTACTGACTCCAGTCGTGTGAAGAGGCAAAACATTTTTGGCGGAGGTACTTCCCTATTTCTTGGTTCAGGCATTCCGTCTGCCCGTTGGTCTGGGGATGGTACCCGGAGGAGAGGCTGAGGGCGACCCCCAGTCGGTCACAGAAGGCTCGCCACACCCGGGAGACAAACTGGGGCCCGCGGTCAGAGACGATGTCCTCCGGAATCCCATACAGACGGAACACCTGTTGGAACATACACTCAGCCAATTCCATGGCGTTACGTAAATGAGGAACCAGATGACACATTTTTGAAAAACGGTCTACTATGACAAGGATGGTGGTGTTACTAGAGGATTCAGGTAGGTCTGTGATGAAGTCAACAGCTATGTGGGACCAGGGTCTGTGAGGGATTGGCAAAGGTTGAAGCTTACCGGAAGGGAGATGACGAGGGCTTTTGGTTTGGGCGCAGACTGGACAGGAGAGTATGTAATCCCTGATGTTGGATGCCAGTGAGGACCACCAGAACATACGGGCTAGAAGTTCGGTGGTTCGTGTAATGCCCGGATGTCTTGACCCCAAGGACGTGTGACACCATTGCATCAGTTGGGGTCTAACAGCTGCTGGTACGTAACTCTTCCCAGCTGTTGTCTCAGGAGGAGCCGGGTCTGAGGTTAGGGCTTCTTGTATGGCAGAGTGAACTTCCCACTGTACCGGTCCCATAATGCAAGAGGAAGGAAGAATGGGTGTAGGGTCTGAGTTACTGGTCGGAAGGTCAAACTGGCGGGAGAGAGCATCAGCTTTTACATTTTTCTTTCCAGGGATGTAAGTAACATGAAAATGGAAGCGTGTTAAGAAGAGAGCCCAGCGGGCTTGTCTGGAGTTTAACCTCTTGGCGCCTTTGATATATTCCAGATTATGATGATCTGTTAGGACGAGAAAGGGATGTTGTGCGCCCTCCAACCAGTGGCGCCACTCCTCGAGGGCCAGCTTGATGGCGAGGAGTTCTCTGTTCCCCACATCGTAATTCCTCTCAGCGGGGGATAACTTCCTGGAGAAGAAGGGCACAAGATCTCGCGATACATGGCCCCATCCATCCTCCCCTCAATACGGTGCAGTCGTCCTGTCCCCTTTGCAGAAAAGCATCCCCAAAGAATGATGTTTCCACCTCCATGCTTCACGGTTGGGATGGTGTTCTTGGGGTTGTACTCATCCTTCTTCTTCCTCCAAACACGGCGAGTGGAGTTTAGACCAAAAAGCTATATTTTTGTCTCATTAGACCACATGACCTTCTCCCATTCCTCCTCTGGATCATCCAGATGGTAATTGGCAAACTTCAGACGGGCCTGGACATGCGCTGGCTTGAGCAGGGGGACCTTGCGTGCGCTGCAGGATTTTAATCCATGACGGCGTAATGTGTTACTAATGGTTTTCTTTGAGACTGTGGTCCCAGCTCTCTTCAGGTCATTGACCAGGTCCTGCCGTGTAGTTCTGGGCTGATCCCTCACCTTCCTCATGATCATTGATGCCCCACGAGGTGAGATCTTGCATGGAGCCCCAGACCGAGGGTGATTGACCGTCATCTTGAACTTCTTCCATTTTCTAATAATTGCGCCAACAGTTGTTGCCTTCTCACCAAGCTGCTTGCCTATTGTCCTGTAGCCCATCCCAGCCTTGTGCAGGTCTACCATTTTATCCCTGATGTCCTTACACAGCTCTCTGGTCTTGGCCATTGTGGAGAGGTTGGAGTCTGTTTGATTGAGTGTGTGGACAGGTGTCTTTTATATAGGTAACGAGTTCAAACAGGTGCAGTTAATACAGGTAATGAGTGGAGAACAGGAGGGCTTCTTAAAGAAAAACGAACAGGTCTGTGAGAGCCGGAATTCTTACTGGTTGGTAGGTGATAAAATTCTTATGTCATGCAATAAAATGCAAATTAATTACTTAAAAATCATACAATGTCATTTTCTGGATTTTTGTCCATCCGGTTTGCTTCTATATGCCATATCTTTCTAACTGTGCTCTTTCACAAAAGCTCTCAACCTATAACCTATATACTTATTATGGACACAGTATGCTTACATTATTAGTTATATTGTTGTTATTAGTCCCATCCTTCAACTCCATTCAACACCACCCATCTATCTTTGTTTTAGATTCTGTCTCTCACAGTTGAAGTGTACCTATGATAAAAATTACAGACCTCTACATGCTTTGTAAGTAGGAAAACCTGCAAAATCGGCAGTGTATCAAATACTTGTTCTCCCCACTGTATATATATATATATATATATATATATATATATATATATATGTGTGTGTGTGTGTGTGTGTGTATGTGTGTGTATGTATGTATATGTGTGTATACACTGCTCAAAAAAATAAAGGGAACACTTAAACAACACAATGTAACTCCAAGTCAATCACACTTCTGTGAAATCAAACTGTCCACTTAGGAAGCAACACTGATTGACAATAAATTTCACATGCTGTTGTGCAAATGAAATAGACAACAGGTGGAAATTATAGGCAATTAGCAAGACACCCCCAATAAAGGACTGGTTTTGCAGGTGGTGACCACAGACCACTTCTCAGTTCCTATGCTTCCTGGCTGATGTTTTGGTCACTTTTGAATGCTGGCGGTGCTTTCACTCTAGTGGTAGCATGAGATGGAGTCTACAACCCACACAAGTGGCTCAGGTAGTGCAGCTCATCCAGGATGGCACATCAATGCGAGCTGTGGCAAGAAGGTTTGCTGTGTCTGTCAGCGTAGTGTCCAGAGCATGGAGGCGCTACCAGGAGACAGGCCAGTACATCAGGAGACGTGGAGGAGGCTGTAGGAGGGCAACAACCCAGCAGCAGGACTGCTACCTCCGCCTTTGTGCAAGGAGGGTCAGGAGGAGCACTGCCAGAGCCCTGCAAAATGACCTCCAGCAGGCCACAAATGTGCATGTGTCTGCTCATGCTTACAGCCCAACACCGTGCAGGACGTTTGGCATTTGCCACAGAACACCAAGATTGGCAAATTCGCCATTGGCGCCCTGTGCTCTTCACAGATGAAAGCAGATTCACACTGAGCACATGTGACAGACGTGACAGAGTCTGGAGACGCCGTGGAGAACGTTCTGCTGCCTGCAACATCCTCCAGCATGACCGGTTTGGCGGTGGGTCAGTCATGGTGTGGGGTGGCATTTCTTTGGGGGGCCGCACAGCCCTCCAAGTGCTCGCCAGAGGTAGCCTGACTGCCATTAGGTACCGAGATGAGATCCTCAGACCCCTTGTGAGACCATATGCTGGTGCGGTTGGCCCTGGGTTCCTCCTAATGCAAGACAATGCTAGACCTCATGTGGCTGGAGTGTGTCAGCAGTTCCTGCAAGAGGAAGGCATTGATGCTATGGACTGGCCCGCCCATTCACCAGACCTGAATCCAATTGAGCACATCTGGGACATCATGTCTCGCTCCATCCACCAACGCCACGTTGCACCACAGACTGTCCAGGAGTTGGCGGATGCTTTAGTCCATGTCTGGGAGGAGATCCCTCAGGAGACCATCCGCCACCTCATCAGGAGCATGCCCAGGCGTTGTAGGGAGGTCATACAGGCACGTGGAGGCCACACACACTACTGAGCCTCATTTTGACTTGTTTTAAGGACATTACATCAAAGTTGGATCAGCCTGTAGTGTGGTTTTCCATTTTAATTTTGAGGGTGACTCCAAATCCAGACCTCCATGCGTTGATAAATTTGATTTCCATTGATAATTTTTGTGTGATTTTGTTGTCAGCACATTCAACTATGTAAAGAAAAAAGTATTTAATAAGATTATTTCATTCATTCAGATCTAGGATGTGTTATTTGAGTGTTCCCTTAATTTTTTTGAGCAGTGTGTATATATATATATATATATATATATATATGCATATTTATATTTGCGAGGAAAAAAAACATATGGGGGATTGGAAGTGATGCATCCAGGCTCTGCTGTAGCCGGCCGTAACCGGGAGAACAATGGGGCGGCGCACAATTGGCCCAGCGTCGTCCAGGGTAGGGGAGGGAATGGCCGGCAGGGAGGTAGCTCAGTTGGTAGAGCATGGCGTTTGCAACGCCAGGGTTGTGGGTTCGATTCCCACGGGGGGCCAGTGTGAAAAAGAATAATGTATGCACTAACTGTAAATCGCTCTGGATAAGAGCGTATGCTAAATGACGTAAATGTAATGCAGACAATTACATTGATGGAAGTTACAATCTATCTGCAATATTAAAGCTGATCTACTCCCCCCCCCCAAAAAAAAAAAAAAACTTTATGCTATACATCAAATTCCTTATAAAGCAAACCAGACGGAGTGATTTTCTTTACAGACAGAAGGGGAACACTCGTCTTTCGAACACCAGCCTTTCTACGTCCCTGTGTTGTCACGTGGGTCGCGCGTCAGCCAAGTAAGGAGGGTGGGACTAGATACCCTTGATCCAATGAACGAGCACTGTGAGAGCACGATGCGTTGACGTATTGAGGCGAACAGAGAACGCGCAAAATTCGAAAGTGGACCGGAAGTGAAACCAACTGCAGGACCGCAGAAGGATCCCTAATGTTTTGTTTTTGTAAAGTACATTGTCCGTTAGCTAACTTCTAGTTAGGCTACCTTACGTTTTTATTACAGGTACGTACTGTTTTGGAAAGTTCATTCTTATTCTATCTCTGTTGGTTTGCTGGAAGTGAATGTTTTGAATTATCCAGGGCTAGCTAACTAGCTGACTCTGGCTGTTACGCTCATAGCTAACATACCAGCTGGTTTTGTGATTCTAAAACTGCTCCTGTTGTGTCACTCTCTGTTGGATTAGGAAAGAGTCAAGGTGTAAGTATGTTTAAATTCAAATATCAAGGGAGCGTGAAAGATCTGGCGTCTCTCGATCCCATGACCAGTCGCTGCTCCCGCCTCAACCTCCTGCTGCAGGTGAATATTGCTGCCTGGTGTAGCTACTTGATGTACTGCCTTTATATATGGGCTAGTAAGAGAGAATAATGAAAACAACAGTAGAAATACCGTTCAAAAGTTTGGGGTCACTTAGAAATGTCCTTGTTTTACATGAAAACATACATGAAATGGGTTTGAATAGGAAATATAGCAAAATGAATACGAAATGTAGTCATTGACAAGGTTAGAAATAATTATTTTAATATAAATAATAATTGTGTCCTTCAAACTTTGCTTTCGTCAAATAATCCTCCATTTGCAGCAATTACAGCCTTGCAGACCTTTGGCATTCTAGTTGTCAATTTGTTGAGGTAATCTGAAGAGATTTCACCCCATGCTTCCTGAAGCACCTCCCACAAGTTGGAGTGGCTTGATGGGCACTTCTTATGTACCATACAGTCAAGCTGCTCCCACAACAGCTCAATAAGGTTGAGATCCGGTGACTGTGCTGGCCACTCCATTATAGACAGAATACCAGCTGACTGCTTCTTCCCTAAATAGTTATTGCATAGTTTGGAGCTGTGCTTTGGGCCATTGTCCTGTTGTAGGAGGAAATTGGCTCCAATCAAGCGCAGTCCACAGGGTATGGCATGGCGTTGCAAAATGGAGTGATAGCGTTCCTTTTTTTTAGGGGGTAGGTCAGTTTTAATATTGCAGATAGATTGTAACTTCCATCAATGTAATTGTCTGCATCACTTCCAATCCCCCATGTTTTTTTTAATTTCTCGCATATATATATATATATATATATATATATATACACAGTGGGGAGAACAAGTATTTGATACACTGCCGATTTTGCAGGTTTTCCTACTTACAAAGCATGTAGAGGTCTGTAATTTTATCATAGGTACACTTCAACTGTGAGAAACGGAATCTAAAACAAAAATCCAGAAAATCACATTGTATGATTTTTAAGTAATTAATTTGCATTTTATTGCATGACATAAGTATTTGATCACCTACCAACCAGTAAGAATTCCGTCTCTCACAGACCTGTTAGTTTTTCTTTAAGAAGCCCTCCTGTTCTCCACTCATTACCTGTATTAACTGCACCTGTTTGAACTCGTTACCTGTATAAAAGACACCTGTCCACACACTCAATCAAACAGACTCCAACCTCTCCACAATGGCCAAGACCAGAGAGCTGTGTAAGGACATCAGGGATAAAATTGTAGACCTGCACAAGGCTGGGATGGGCTACAGGACAATAGGCAAGCAGCTTGGTGAGAAGGCAACAACTGTTGGCGCAATTATTAGAAAATGGAAGAAGTTCAAGATGACGGTCAATCACCCTCGGTCTGGGGCTCCATGCAAGATCTCACCTCGTGGGGCATCAATGATCATGAGGAAGGTGAGGGATCAGCCCAGAACTACACGGCAGGACCTGGTCAATGACCTGAAGAGAGCTGGGACCACAGTCTCATAGAAAACCATTAGTAACACACTATGCCGTCATGGATTAAAATCCTGCAGCGCACGCAAGGTCCCCCTGCTCAAGCCAGCGCATGTCCAGGCCCGTCTGAAGTTTACCAATGACCATCTGGAAGATCCAGAGGAGGAATGGGAGAAGATCATGTGGTCTGATGAGAAAAAAATAGAGCTTTTTGGTCTAAACTCCACTCGCCGTGTTTGGAGGAAGAAGAAGGATGAGTACAACCCCAAGAACACCATCCCAACCGTGAAGCATGGAGGTGGAAACATCATTCTTTGGGGATGCTTTTCTGCAAAGGGGACAGGACGACTGCACCATATTGAGGGGAGGATGGATGGGGCCATGTATCGCGAGATCTTGGCCAACAACCTCCTTCCCTCAGTAAGAGCATTAAAGATGGGTCGTGGCTGGGTCTTCCAGCATGACAACGACCCGAAACACACAGCCAGGGCAACTAAGGAGGGGCTCCGTAAGAAGCATCTCAAGGTCCTGGAGTGGCCTAGCCAGTCTCCAGACCTGAACCCAATAGAACATCTTTGGAAGGAGCTGAAAGTCCGTATTGCCCAGCGACAGCCCCGAAACCTGAAGGATCTGGAGAAGGTCTGTATGGAGGAGTGGGCCAAAATCCCTGCTGCAGTGTGTGCAAACCTGGTCAAGACCTACAGGAAACGTATGATCTCTGTAATTGCAAACAAAGGTTTCTGTACCAAATATTAAGTTCTGCTTTTCTGATGTATCAAATACTTATGTCATGCAATAAAATGCAAATTAATTACTTAAAAATCATACAATGTGATTTTCTGGATTTTTGTTTTAGATTCCGTCTCTCACAGTTGAAGTGTACCTATGATAAAAATTACAGACCTCTACATGCTTTGTAAGTAGGAAAACCTGCAACATCGGCAGTGTATCAAATACTTGTTCTCCCCACTGTGTATGTGTATATATATATTTATATATATATATATATATATATACACACACATACATATACATTTCCTTTTTTAAAATATATTTCCCTTTATTACTTTCCAACCCCACCACCCCTTCCCTAATTGGAGTAAACTAGTGAACAACAATGCTTAGGCCTCTACTTCCAGCTTATACATACTATATACATTTTATGGACACAGTCAATTTTACAATAATTCTATTTTGTTTGTTTTTACTCCTGAACTTCCTCTACCCTCAACCTCTCCGATCATTTTCATGATGTCCATCCGGTTTGCTTCTATATGCCATATCTTTCTAACTGTGCTCTTTCACAAAAGCTCTCAACCTATAACCTATATACTTATTATGGACACAGTATGCTTACATTATTAGTTATATTGTTGTTATTAGTCCCATCCTTCAACTCCATTCAACACCACCCATCTATCTCTTAACACCGTCCAAATTGGATTTCTATTTGCCATATATTTTTCAACTGTACTGTGATGTTTTACAAAAGTTCTGAACCTTTCTATTCTCATTGTTTCTACAGATTGTAAATTGAAAATAAACATTTTTGCTAAGTATTATAATATTATTGATCGATTGACTATGACTTTTCAGATCACCCAGTAATGCTATCTGCAGGGTTAATATTGCAATCCTTTAGCCATTCCTGGACCTGCGTCCAAAAACAAGCAACAAATTGACAGTACCAAAACAAATGATCTAATGATTCGGTCTCTTCACAGCAAAATCTGCAGAGCTGGGAAGATTGTATCCCCCATATAAATAACATTCTATTGGTTGCAAGAATTTTGTTTTGAATCCGGCGTCGTTTTGTGTATCAGTTCATAAACACTATGCCATGGGATCGGTACATCAAAAATCTCTTCCCAACTATTTTGCAATCTATATGGGGTGGCTGTCAATCCTTTGGTCCTTAAATGAAACTGGTATACTTGGTTATTTATCACAGTTTTCTTTAACCAATTATGTTCTTTAATGCAAGGCCGACAAATAAGTTCCTTACATTTTCCCCCTTCCACTTTCCTCTTCCATTTTTGCGGTAATGCTGCAATTATTTGGTTGTAATTTTGGGTAGAGCAGACATTTCCATATGTTTTTGTTAGCTGCATGTGCGACATAACTCCACCAGTCCTACCGATGATATCATTTACGAAGATTATAGCTTTTTTAAAACATTTAGTCAATTTTGTTTAGTTTTTTATCAATTAGTATATTTGAGTTTAACCATTATTTGTTCTGTCGTTTCTGGAGGATTAAATTGAAATTGCAACCAACTTTCTATGGCTTGTTTTAGAAATAGTGATATTTGGGAGATTATTTCCTTTTCAAATAACTGAAAGTGTGAGGTTGTAATCTGAATAAAGGGGAAAAGGCCATTCTTGAACATGGGGACAATCTTACTAATTTGCTGGAGAACCAGTTCGGATTTAAGTATAACGTTTGTATGACTGAAGCTTTTAGTGATAGGTCTAATGCTTTAATATTTAATAATTTCTGTCCTCCGAATTCATATTCATTATAAAAATAGGCCCGTTTAATTTTGTCTGGCTTGCCGTTCCAAATAAAATGGAATACTTTTTTCTCATATAATTTAAAAAACTGTTCGCTAGGCGTAGGCAAGACCATGAGCAAATAGGTAAACTGGGATAATACTAAAGAGTTATTCAGGGTGATTTTCCGACAAATAGACAGGTATTTACCTTTCCATGGTAGCAAGATCTTATCTATTTTTGTTACCTTTCTATTAAAATTTATTGGAGTGAGATCATTTATTTCATTTGGGATATTTATTCTTAGTATATCCACATAACCATCAGACCATTTTATTGGTAAACTACATGGTAATGTACATTTTTTATTTTTTAGGGATACAATACGTAATATAGTACATTTATCATTACATTTACGTCATTTAGCAGACGCTCTTATCCAGAGCGACTTACAAATTGGTGCATTCACCTTATAGCCAGTGGGATAACCACTTTACAATGTTTTATTTAAATGTATTTTTTTTTTTTTTTTTTTTTGGGGGGGGTTGGGGTAAGGGGGGTAGAAGGATTACTTTATCCTATCCCAGGTATTCCTTAAAGAGGTGGGGTTTCAAATGTCTCCGGAAGGTGGTGAGTGACTCCGCTGTCCTGGCGTCGTGATGGAGCTTGTTCCACCATTGGGGTGCCAGAGCAGCGAACAGTTTTGACTGGGCTGAGCGGGAACTATGCTTCCGCAGAGGTAGGGGAGCCAGCAGGCCAGAGGTGGATGAACGCAATGCCCTCGTTTGGGTGTAGGGACTGATCAGAGCCTGAAGGTACGGAGGTGCCGTTCCCCTCACAGCTCCGTAGGCAAGCACCATGGTCTTGTAGCAGATGCGAGCTTCAACTGGAAGCCAGTGGAGTGTGCGGAGGAGCGGGGTGACGTGAGAGAACTTGGGAAGGTTGAACACCAGACGGGCTGCGGCATTCTGGATGAGTTTAATGGCACAAGCAGGGAGCCCAGCCAACAGCGAGTTGCAGTAATCCAGACGGGAGATGACAAGTGCCTGGATTAGGACCTGTGCCGCTTCCTGTGTAAGGCAGGGTAGTACTCTCCGAATGTTGTAGAGCATGAACCTACAGGATCGGGTCACCGCCTTGATGTTAGCGGAGAACGACAGGGTGTTGTCCAGGGTCACGCCAAGGCTCTTCGCACTCTGGGAGGAGGACACAACGGAGTTGTCAACCGTGATGGCGAGATCATGGAACAGGCAGTCCTTCCCCGGGAGGAAGAGCAGCTCCGTCTTGCCAAGGTTCAACTTGAGGTGGTGATCCGTCATCCATACTGATATGTCTGCCAGACATGCAGAGATGCGATTCGCCACCTGGTTATCAGAAGGGGGAAAGGAGAAGATTAGTTGTGTGTCGTCTGCGTAGCAATGATAGGAGAGGCCATGTGAGGATATGACAGAGCCAAGTGACTTGGTGTATAGCGAGAATAGGAGAGGGCCTAGAACTAAGCCCTGGGGGACACCAGTGGTGAGAGCACGTGGTGCGGAGACAGCTTCTCGCCACGCCACTTGGTAGGAGCGACCGGTCAGGTAGGACGCAATCCAAGAGTGAGCCGCGCCGGAGATGCCCAGCTCAGAGAGGGTGGAGAGGAGGATCTGATGGTTCACAGTATCAAAGGCAGCAGACAGGTCTAGAAGGACAAGAGCAGAGGAGAGAGAGTTAGCTTTAGCAGTGCGGAGAGCCTCCGTGACACAGAGAAGAGCAGTCTCAGTTGAATGACCAGTCTTGAAACCTGACTGGTTTGGATCAAGAAGGTAATTCTGAGAGAGATAGCAAGAGAGTTGGCCAAAGACGGCACGCTCAATAGTTTTGGAGAGAAAAGAAAGAAGGGATACTGGTCTGTAGTTGTTGACATCAGTGTTGTTTTTTTGAGAAGGGGTGCAACTCTCGCTCTCTTGAAGACGGAAGGGACATAGCCAGCGGTCAAGGATGAGTTGATCAGCGAGGTGAGGTAAGGGAGAAGGTCACCGGAGATGGTCTGGAGAAGAGAGGAGGGGATAGGGTCAAGCGGGCAGGTTGTTGGGCGGCCTGCCGTCACAAGTTGCAAGATTTTATCTGGAGAGAGGGGAGAAAGAAGTCAAAGCATAGGGTAGGGCAGTGTGAGCAGGACCAGCAGTGTCATTTGACTTAACAAACGAGGATCGGATGTCGTCAACCTTCTTTTCAAAATGGTTGACGAAGTCATCCACAGAGAGGGAGGGGGGGGGGGGGGGGGAGGAGGATTCAGCAGGGAGGAGAATGTGGCAAAGAGCTTCCTAGGGTTAGAGGCAGATGCTTGGAATTTAGAGTGGTAGAAAGTGGCCTTAGCAGCAGAAACAGATGAAGAAAATGTAGAGAGGAGGGAGTGAAAAGATGCCAGGTCCGCAGGGAGTCTAGTTTTCTTCCATTTCCGCTCAGCTGCCCGGAGCTCTGTTCTGTGAGCTTGCAATGAGTCATCAAGCCACGGAGCTGGAGGGGAGGACCGAGCCGGCCGGGAGGATAGGGGACATGGAGAGTCAAAGGATGCAGAAAGGGAGGAGAGGGGGGTTGAGGAGGCAGAATCAGGAGATTGGAGGGAGAAGGATTGAGCAGAGGGAAGAGATGATAGGATAGAAGAGGAGAGAGTAGCGGGAGAGGGAGAGCGAAGGTTGCGACGGCGCATTACCATCTGTGTAGGGGCAGAGTGAGTAGTGTTGGAGGAGAGCGAGAGAGAAAATAATTTGGTTATAATCCAGAGAGGTTAGAAAATGAATCTAGATCTTCTATGAGGCTGTGGAGGGATTCAAGTTGGGGATTTAAAAGAAAACATGAATCATCAGGATACAATGACACCTTTGTTTTTAAGCCCTGGATTTCTAATCCTTTGATATTATTGTTGGATCTGATTTTAATAGCTAACATATTGATGACCAAAATAAATAGAAATGCCGATAGTAGACAACCTTGTTTCACTCCTCTTGGCGGTTTAAAACTTTCTGAGAAATAGCCATTATTTACTATTTTACACCTAGGGTTACTATACATGATTTTAACCCATTTTATAAGAGATTCTCCAAAATTGAAATGCTCCAGGCATTTATATATAAATCCCAGTCATACTTTATCAAATGCCTTTTCGAAGTATGCTATGAATAGTAGGCCTGGTTTCCCAGATTTTTCATAGTGTTGTATTGTTTCCAGTACTTGTTTTATATTATCTCCAATATATCTTCCATGTAAAAAACCTGTCTGATTAGAATGAATAATGTCCGACAATACCTTTTTAATTCTGTGAGCTATACATTTTGCTAGAATTTTTGCATCACAACAGTGAAGTGTAAGGGGCCTCCAATTTTTTTAAACGACTGGATCTTTATATTTTCCACTTGTATCCTGTTTCAGTAATAATGAAATCAGACCTTCTTCTTGAGTGTCTGATAATCTACTATTTACATAGGAGTGGTTAAAACATGATAATAACGGTCCTCTGAGTATATCAAAAAAGGTTTGGTATACCTCGACTGGTATGCCATCCAACCCTGGAGTATTCCTGGATTTAGTCTTTAATTGCATCCAGAAGTTCCTCCTCTGTAATTTCACCTTCACATGAGTCTTTCTGTATGGCTGTTAATTTTACATTATCAATAGAAAAAACATCTCTACAATTTAGCTTCAGTTAGAGGAGATGGAGGCGACTGAAACGAAAACATATGCTTAAAGTACTTTGTTTCCTCCTTCAAAATATAATTTGGTGAATCATGGTTGACTCTGTCATTTGTAACCAGTTTCAGTAAATTATTTTTGGTAGCATTCCTATGTTGAAGATTAAAAAAGATTTTGCTGCATTTTTCCCCATATTCCATCCAGTTTGCTTTATTATGATAATATATTACACTTGATCTTTCTTGAATAAGTTTCTCCATTTCTTTTTGCTTTTCCTCTAATTTATTCTGAGCCTCTGTTACAGTTTTTATTGCTGTCTGTTCTGTTAGACCTTCTATTTCCTTTGTTAGTATGGACTCTTTTGACCTAAATTGCTTTTGTTTTCGAGATGAGTACTGAATTGCATGGCCTTTAAAAGCACATTTAAAGGTGTCCCATACAATAAGGGGATTTGCTGGACCTATGTTGTGTTGGAAAAAATCAGTTATGAATTCCTCTGTCCTAGTTAAAAACAAGTTATCATCCAATAGGCTTTGATTACATTTCCAATATCCTCGCCCACGTGGAAATTCAGTAAGAGTAATGTATATGCTAATTATGATGGTCCGACCGCATTCTTTCCCCTATCAATACTTTTTAAACTTTTGGTGCCAACGAGAATGACATAAGAAAGAAGTCAAGACGACTAGCTTGATTGTCTCCGCCATGTATTTCTCACTAGATCAGGATATTTAAGCCTCCATATACAGTGGGGAGAACAAGTATTTGATACATTGCCGATTTTACAGGTTTTGCTACTTACAAAGCATGTAGAGGTCTGTCATTTTTATCATATGTACACTTCAACTGTGAGAGACGGAATCTAAAACGAAAATCCAGAAAATCACATTGTATGATTTTTAAGTAATTAATTTGCATTTTATTGCATGACATAAGTATTTGATACATCAGAAAAGCAGAACTTAATATTTGGTACAGAAACTTTGTTTGCAATTACAGAGATCATACGTTTCCTGTAGGTCTTGACCAGGTTTGCACACACTGCAGCAGGGATTTTGGCCCACTCCTCCATACAGACCTTCTCCAGATCCTTCAGGTTTCGGGGCTGTCGCTGGGCAATACGGACTTTCAGCTCCCTCCAAAGATGTTCTATTGGGTTCAGGTCTGGAGACTTGCTAGGCCACTCCAGGACCTTGAGATGCTTCTTACGGAGCCCCTCCTTAGTTGCCCTGGCTGTGTGTTTCGGGTCGTTGTCATGCTGGAAGACCCAGCCACGACCCATCTGCAATGCTCTTACTGAGGGAAGGAGGTTGATGGCCAAGATCTCGCGATACATGGCCCCATCCATCCTCCCCTCAATACGGTGCAGTTGTCCTGTCCCCTTTGCAGAAAAGCATCCCCAAAGAATGATGTTTCCACCTTCATGCTTCACGGTTGGGATGGTGTTCTTGGGGTTGTACTCATCCTTCTTCTTCCTCCAAACATGGCGAGTGGAGTTTAGACCAAAAAACTATATTTTTGTCTCATTAGACCACATGACCTTTCCCATTCCTCCACTGGATCGTCCAGATGGTCATTGGCAAACTTCAGACGGGCCTGGACATGCGCTGGCTTGAGCAGGGGGACCTTGCGTGCGCTGCAGGATTTTAATCCATGACGGCGTAATGTGTTACTAATGGTTTTCTTTGAGACTGTGGTCCCAGCTCTCTTCAGGTCATTGACCAGGTCTTGCCGTGTAGTTCTGGGCTGATCCCTCACCTTCCTCATGATCATTGATGCCCCACGAGGTGAGATCTTGCAAAGAGCCCCAGACCGAGGGTGATTGACCGTCATCTTGAACTTCTTCCATTTTCTAATAATTGCGCCAACAGTTGTTGCCTTCTCACCAAGCTGCTTGCCTATTGTCCTGTAGCCCATCCCAGCCTTGTGCAGGTCTACAATTTTATCCCTGATGTCCTTACACAGCTCTCTGGTCTTGGCCATTGTGGAGAGGTTGGAGTCTGTTTGATTGAGTGTGTGGACAGGTGTCTTTTATACAGGTAACGAGTTCAAACAGGTGCAGTTAATACAGGTAATGAGTGGAGAACAGGAGGGCTTCTTAAAGAAAAATGAACAGGTCTGTGAGAGCCGGAATTCTTCCTGGTTGGTAGGTGATCAAATACTTATGTCATGCAATAAAATGCAAATTAATTACTTAAAAATCATACAATGTGATTTTCTGGATTTTTGTTTTAGATTCCGTCTCTCACAGTTGAAGTGTACCTATGATAAAAATTACAGACCTCTACATGCTTTGTAAGTAGGAAAACCTGCAAAATCGGCAGTGTATCAAATACTTGTTCTCCCCACTGTATCTACTAGTTCTAATGCATCCATGACATTCATGATTTCCATAAGAGCGTGAGGTGATTGTTTGTAGTGTGATTTCCTTTATGGTCCATTGAGCTATTTAAAACGGTATTATAATCCCCCACCATAATAATAGAGTCTTGAATTGCTTGCAGGGTTGATAATTTATTATATATATTGTCAAAGAAGTGTGGATCATCATTATTTGGTCCGTAAAGGTTGATGAGCCATATCTGTTTATGGTCCAATAACATATTTAAAATAATCTACCTTGCGTATCTGTTTGGACAATTTGCACATTCATCTAGAATTGTTGAATGAGTTTCCTGTAAACAATAGATATTATATTCCTTCTCTTTGAGCCATGTAAATATTGTTCTTCTTTTGTTATCATCTGCTAAGCCATTACAATTATAAATGGCTATACTTATTTCGCCATATACCTTAATGAGATACAAGTTCCCGAGAGGCCAGGACCCTTCCATCGAAAACAGCACACAGTGCCACCCACAAAACAGAAGCAGGTCAACCGCCAAAAGCATTTCCAATGCTCTCACCTCAAAAATATATATCTATTCAAATATCTTGCATATCTTATTTTCCAGCATTATCAATTAATATGCGTAATAATGTTGGCAGTTCATGCATAGGATTTTTGTTTTGTTGCAAACAGTTATTGTGGTTCATCCTATATTCTCCCTAACATCCTTACCCCCCTTGCAACAGATGTGGAATAAACACACATGCACATACTCTAACACACTCAACCCCTTTCCTCCACAATCAACCATAAAATCAGATGCTCAACGGTTGTTACATCCCAGAGCCCAACTCAAGAAAGGACCTGATTTACGAATGCATATACGAATGCATATACAGTTACAGCTGTTTGGGAAAGCATGCAAGATTGAGCAAAAATTGACAACAATGTGAGATTTGATTAATCTATTTAATATATGTCAAGTCCTAGGTGATGGAGATCAGATCCACCCTCTTCACCTGAGACACAAACACTCTGGTCCCCCGTTGTAACCATTTTCCCCAAGCATCTCCGTGCAGTCAGACCTTTGATTATTTTATGGCACTTGAGCCCCCTCTCTTATTGTCCGAGTGTGACCCCCTCCCCATGGGTTACTGCAGCCAGTGTTGCCAGCACTGCCTCTACCTGGTTAAAGGTACCCCACCGGAATCCCCACCGGCTAGGTACAAGGTCGTCAAGGTTGTCATTAGCAGCTTTTGAGAATTTCCTTGTATATTATGCTCTCCCATCAGGGGGCTCTGGCTTTGTAGGACCAACCCTGCCAGGCAGGCTCAGAATCTTGAGGGGCGGCGCTGCTCAAGTAGGTCTCTGACCGCATTTATTTTTTTGTTTTGGCTGCATATAGTCAACTCACAGCAGGTCCATAAAATAGATGGGGACTTCTCTTTGGTGTATGGGTTGCTCAGGTGGGTGTCTAGGATTTAGGGTTGGGGATCGTTCCATCATGATAGGACAATAAAAAATAAATAATTAGATGTATACTATGTTTTAAAATGTATATCCCTCATCTGCACAACATTGAAAGCTCTCTCTCACAACCCCTGCTCACAGACACACGTTGGTTCTGGGATATGCAACCATTTCCTTTCTCAATCACTTAAAGCCACACTTATTCAAACACAAAAACGCACACCACCTTCCATCACAATTCATCCACACATACCCACATACTGTGCCTTCTATGTCTTCTGTTTGCTATGTTTTAATCTCCACTATGTTGATTGAGTACTTATGTTCTAATTTAGTTGTATTTGAAGATGTATTATTTTGCTTGTTATCTTTACTTGTAATACCGTCTTTTCCCTTTTTATAGAATACTATACCTACTATAAATGTGCTTTATTATTACAATCCGTACCATGGCTAGTATTGGGTGTTCCATTATTCGACTCCTCTATTAGAACTTTCAGAATAGCCATGGAGTAGTCTTTGTGTCGCGGAACATTTGGTTGTCAATATACAGTTTATCGACAACAAGAGCAACACGCTTCCCTTTTGGTCTATTTTCCTTGAAGATTTGGTACAGAACTTTGCGCCGTTCTGCAATCTCCCTCGGGAACTGATAATTCATGCCTATTTTCATGCCAGCAAGTCTTTTACCTAGGCTTTTAACCATTACTTTATTTTTAGTTTTTTTGTATCGCTCTCCATTATCACAGCTTTTCCGTCACTCATTTCAAGACTCACCTTCAACTCTTTTACATCATTACTGACCAACTGTAGTATGCCCAGTTTGTCATTTATTGACTTCAACAAGTCGCTTTCCACACTTACCAGTCCCAATGGTGAAAAGCATAAATCTTCTGTATCAGTCGAGGAGTCGCGTTTTCTCTTGGAGATTGATTCTCCTCGTTTATCTCCCGTCATGTTTGGGTGTTGCGTATTGTTGTAATATTTGTTGATACATTTCTCTAGTCTTATAATTTGTTTTGTGTTATTATCCAGATTGAATGTTATTACCCTCGAATATATGAAATGTTAATATTTAGTATAACTTACTGATATTGAATATCTTGAGTGATAGCCTTCCCTCTTCAAGATCCCTTTTACCCTGTACAAATCTCCTACTTTACCACCACCAAAGCACCCACAGACCATCACATTGCCTCCACCATGTTTGACAGATGGCATCAAGCACTCCTCCAGCATCTTTTCATTTGGTTTGCGTCTCACAAATGTTCTTCTTTGTGATCCGAACACCTCAAACTTCGATTCGTCTGTCCATAACACTTTTTTCCCAATCTTCCTCTGTCCAGTGTCTGTGTTCTTTTGCCCATCTTAATCTTTTCTTTTTATTGGCCAGTCTGAGATATGGCTTTTTCTTTGCAACTCTGCCTAGAAGGTCAGCATCCCGGAGTCGCCTCTTCACTGTTGACTTTGAGACTTTTTTTTTGTGGGTACTATTTAATGAAGCTGCCAGTTGAGGACCTGTGAGGTGTCTGTTTCTCAAACTAGACACTAATGTATTTGTCCTCATGCTCAGTTGTGCACCGTGGCCTCCCACTCCTCTTTCTATTCTGGTTAGAGCTGTTCTGTGAAGGGAGTAGTACACAGCGTTGTACGAGATCTTCAGTTTCTTGGCAATTTCTCACATGGAATAGCCTTCATTTCTCAGAACAAGAATAGACTGACGAGTTTCAGAAGAAAGTTATTTGTTTCTGGCCATTTTGAGCCTGTAATCGAACCCACAATTGCTGATGCTCCAGATACTCAACTAGTCTCAAGAAGGCCAGTTTTATTGCTTCTTTAATCAGCACAACAGGTTTCAGCTGTGCTAACATCATTGCAAAAGGGTTTTCTAATGATCAATTAGCCTTTTAAAATGATAAACTTGGATTAGCAAACACAACGTGCCATTGGAACACAGGAGTGATGGTTGCTGATAATGGGCGTCTGTACGCCTATGTAGATATTCCATTAGAAATCAGCCGTTTACAGCTACAATAGCCATTTACAACATTAACAATGTCTACACTTTATTTCTGATCAATTTGATGTTATTTTAATGGATAAAAAAATTGCTTTTCTTTCAAAAACAAGGACATTTCTAAGTGACCCCAAACTTTTGAACGGTAGTGTACATACTCCTAATCATTTGGTTATAAACTAGCTAGCTACTAATATAGCTACTTAGCTAATTAACAACAGTTAAATTCAGATAAAGGTTCAGCAAGGTCTGAGATGGTGGTTGGCAGGCCTCGTTGAATTGATGAGAATGATTCATGTATGCCCCTGTTGCTTTAAAACTCCAGGGAAAGATCACCAACCATGGCCTACAGGGAGGGGTGAGTGTGACGCGGGAGGAGCTGTTGGATGCTCTGCTCCTTCTCTACCAGGAGTGCTCTTCCCCAGACCTGATGAAGATAGAAAATGTGGCCAACTTTGTCAACAAGTGTAAGCATTTGATTTGCATCTATCCTTTACTACTAAAATGTTTTAATAGTAAAGGATATCATTTTATTCCACTCCTATGTTTAATAGGGATGGGCATTTACATTTTTATGACTGTTAGAGTACTTGTATGATTTTTTTTCAAGTGTGTATATATATATTTTTTAGAACACAAAGCCAGCACTGTAAAATAATATGTGCGCTTTTATCTATAGGCCTATGACAACAGTGCGCAACAATGCCTAATTTATCATAACCATTACATTTTACATTTACATTTTAGTCATTTAGCAGACGCTCTTATCCAGAGCGACTTACAGGAGCAATTAGGGTTAAGTGCCTTGCTCAAGGGCACATCGGCAGATTTTTCACCTAGTTGGCTCGGGGATTAGAACCAGAGACCTTTCGGTTACTGGCACAATGCTCTTAACCACTAAGCTACCTGCCGCCCCATTACAGATAACATGGCCCATATATATTCAGTCAATAACAAAGAAAGTGCCATTTAAGATTAATTTATTGAAACCGTAATATCAACTGGTTATATCATATTGTGGAAAACAATCTTCAAAACCTCAGCAGTGGCGCTTGCTTGTAGAAGCCTATTGCTGTGCAATAGCATAGCCTTGATTTGTTAATTTAGCAGTCAAGACACTCTTATTTCCTGAGCCCTTATCACAGTCAAGACACCTATTTTATAGTAAAAAAAACATGATGTAATATAACAGCCTATGCTTTATGAGTCTGATGACAATATAGTTTTTGTCTTTATCATACTAATGTTTTTGCGTATTTTCCGTGTCGAACCTGTCTATGTTTAGGGGGGTTATAGGCTAACCCATTCTAAATGGCACTAGCAGTTTGCAAAGTAGCCTAAGCGGAAAATAGACAGGACGCAATTAGTCCAAAACTGCAGCTCGTTGTTGGAACACATATCTTCCTACTTCAATCAACAAGTCCATTTTGAATTTGTGAACTGTCATCATTTGGCAAGGAATGTAGCTTGTGTATCCCATCAGTTAGATAACGTTTTTAACTGCATTTCTTTCTGTAGGCCTAACAGGAGCTTGTGTACGCACTCAGCACGTATGTGTGTGTCTAGGGAGCGGTCAGAATGCAGTTCAGTGAATGAGACAAGGAGAGGAAAGGGAATTTAGGGAGAAGAACTTGCGATGCTTGTCTTGGTTTCTTTTTTGTTGTGCCCCGCAAATGCACATGTACAAATGGAACACTAGAGTCAAATTAAGTTAACGTTGTCTTCTAGACAAAATTACACTTGCATGTTCGGGCAGCCTCAAAGCACATTGCACAAAATAGTTTGACAGTATTTTTGGGGAAAAACTGATCTCTGGTTAAAGATCGAGCTTTGACGTCTGTTCGAATACTCAATTACTAAAGTTTAACTGTGTATGTGTGTGTGACCCTCAGTCTCTGAGGTGGTGTCAGAGTTACATGAGTTGCAGCCTGGGTTGCGGGACTTTGAGAAGCGCGGGGTTGTTGGACGTGGCCGCTTCGCTGAAGTACAGGTGGTCAGAGAAAGATCCACGGGAGATGTGTGTGCCTTGAAGGTCATGGAGAAGGCAGGCCTGCGCTCCAAAGAAAATGTAAGCTACACTATTTTTCATTCTGCCCCAAAAATAGCTATTAATTGTGGGGGCGAATCCTAACTTCCATGTAAGTCATAACATTTTCACTTTGTCATGCATCGATGTCGAAGAGAGACTGTGAAAATTCAACTTAAATGGAAGTAAGTATTCACCTTTGACTGAGGAGTCAATCTGTGGAAACTGTACCATGTTTGGAAAATATCTGTCGTTTGTGTTTTCCTGAATTGTAGTTTGACAGGCAGGTGCATTCCATTCCTCTGTAACTGACGTTCCATTCCTCCCTCAGGTGTTCTATGAGGAGGAGAGGAGGATACTGGCACTGAGCTGCAGCCCCTGGATCCCACAGCTCCTGTACGCCTTCCAGGACCAGGACAATGTCTACCTGGTAACAATATTGATATATATAGGTTATGGGTTATTTGTTGCTTTATTGACACCACAATGCAATATCAACATTTAACACAATTTGTCAAAATCTATAGATTTTACTAGCGAGAATGCCCCTATACAACGCTGAAAATGATGGCCATGGCCACTCGTCTCTCGTTCGAAAACATTCCATCGCCCTTGCTTTCACAGAAATGTCTTATTAAGAACACGGCAATTTGGCTGGGAACAAATCAGATTTCAGATTGTTTAGGGGTCAGTACAGCAGGTGGGCAATCTATGGCCCTAGGGCTGAAAGCGGCCAGTTTTATACTTCAATCTGGCCTGGGACCACATTTATATCCATACTTAATTTAATTGATCATGGTTATTGCGCTCTGTCAATCTAAATAGAGCCCGGGTTGCTATAACATATTCCTACTTACAGTGTTATACTGCTCCACTGCTATACTTCAGATGTCCAGTAGATGACGTCATGTACCATATTCTGTATTGGGCTGATAAACCTTAGTAAAATTGAATTTGTTCAAGGACCGTTCATTGGTTTAATTTTTGTTCCTTTGCAGACTTTTTTGAGCCAAAGGGTCTGACCATTGTGAAAAAGCAATCTTTATTGGGGGCAATTCTCCCTACTATGGCACAGTAATAGAATCCATGCATATTAAGTAACAACGTGAATAAAAATGCCTTTAACGCTACTCTTACAATTTTGTGGCATGTAATTCAATTTCTAAATCCCAAATGTGTCCCTTTTGCCAAAAAGTTGGCCTTTTAGATGCTTTTTCCCCACTTTATCTAATGAAGTAATATTGTGTGTTTCCCTCACTGTACTCCATCTAGGCTGGAACGCTCTGTCCAATTCTTCCTGGGAATTTAGTGGGAGTAGAAAATCCAATACAAATGCCAAGTGAGCAATGCATTGCTGCTCGGAAAGCGAACTGAGTGGCTTAAATTAGAAAGAAATAATTTTCCATGTCTGCTTCAGCTCAGTCAGCCCCCACCCCCAGCTCTGATCTCTGCCTACACTTCCATACTGAGCCCTGTGAAAATACAAAGAATCCATCTCTACCCAAGTGTCAGACTGCTCCAAAGTGTCTCTCAGTACCCTGTTGCTAGGTAACCTCTTTAGAATGCTGCTGTTCATTCAGAATCCCCGACCATTCATGCGCTGCGGTATGCTCCTCATCACTGAACTTTTAACACCCCTACTGGTAGCTGCTGCCTTTATTGCTTCCTGTTTATATTTAGAATGTATGGAACAACGGCAGCACTGGTAGAATTAATTAGACACTGTTTCTTTGTTATTTTCTACTCCCTATATATAGCCATGTTATTTTTACTCATTATTTTTATTTGTTATTCACTGTGTATTTTTTATTACATTTTTATCTTATCTTTAACTCTGCAACCTTCCGGAGACATTTGAAACCCCACCTCTTTAAGGAATACATGTGATAGGATAAAGTAATCATTCTACCCCCCCTAAAAAAAAATTAAAAAATATATAAGAAAATTAAAAATATATAAAAACAAAAAAAGGAAAAAAAAATAAATATATGTGACCAATGACCAGAGAAACTGTGTTGTCTGCAATGTGGCGTGGTGATACTTTTGTATTTTTGCTTGGTTTGAAATAAACACAAAATACATGAAGCTGTTTGGCCAGGCTGTTGCAAGACAGGTTCCTGTCTGTCTAATAACATGATTGTCATGGTACTATGCACATGGCTGTGTGTCTTTGTGTTTGATTTCCATGTGTGTGTTGTAAGGCGATGGATTACCTCCCGGGTGGGGACCTGATGGCCCTGATGAACAGATATGAGGAGCAGTTTGATGAGGCCATGGCCCAGTTTTACCTGGCCGAACTGGTGGAGGCCATCCATGCTGTGCATCAGATGGGCTTTGTCCACAGGTGACTTCCAAATTCCACACTTCTAATACACTCAAATGTGCTGCACACCTCTGTACCGCTAATGTGAATCCCAGAATAACAGCGTGACTGGTAGTGTCAAGGTTCAAATACAGTTAGTACACTACAGGTAGACGAGCAAAATCATACTTGCTCTTTGTAAGATCTCTCACCTGGGTTTAGGTCAAATAGTTTTGTCTCGCTCCTCCTTGTCCTTCCGTTCCCATTCGCTTTCTCCTGCATTCTCTCACATCCTCCTGACGTGTTTCCTGTTGCAGAGATGTCAAACCAGAGAATGTGCTCATTGACCGCACTGGGCACATCAAGCTGGTAGACTTTGGTTCAGCTGCCAAGCTCACTGCTAATAAAAAGGTAAAAGCTCACACAACAGAGTGACACAATTGTGAATACCAAAGGTAATGAATATACTAAAGAGGATTCCTTATTTTTCACGTTGAGGTTGCTGAAAAAACTAACATTTAACTACTAAATTGCAGGCTCCAAGGAAACAACATGTGAAACCTGTGCAAGGGATTGATTACTACTCAAATGTTGGGTTATAACATAATGCAATAGCAGTTATAACTTCCACATAATAACTTTGATTATTGTAAAGATTATTAAAGAGGTGAGTATAACTGAGATGGCCGTTTTGCAGGTGTTTACCCCCAGGGCACCTGTTGGGACACAGGACTACCTGTCTCCTGAGGTGTTGGGGGCTGTGAACGGGGGGTCCCAGTGTAGCTATGGCCTGGAGTGTGACTGGTGGTCACTGGGAGTCATCGCCTACGAGATGATCTACATGAAGTCTCCCTTCACCGATGGCACCGCCACCAAGACCACCCACAATATCATGAACTTCCAGGTAGGTCCCATTATTATATCTAACAGTATGTCTGATACTTCTTGCACTGGTCTGGAAATCTGGAAAAATATTTGGAATCATAAAGAACTGATATCCTGAAAAAGTTTGTCATTTTTATTGGAATCTGGAAAATGGACGGATATAAAACGCTTTGAAATAAGTAATAGTGCTGTTTTGTTTTTTTACCTGACAAATTACGTATGAGGCTGTCCGCTATCTCTTCAGGCAGTCTAAAAGGAACATAGGCGTAGCAATTTTACACCAACTACAGTAGTCATTTCAAAACATTAATGATTCTTGACAACTTTAGCTGCCACAGAGTTATTTAAATTCTATGTTTAAGACCGTTGTGACATTGCATTCTGTCCCTATCGTTTCCTCCCAGCGTTTTCTGAGGTTCCCCCAGGAGCCAAAGGGCAGTAAGCACTTTGTAGACCTGGTTCAGAGTCTACTCTGTGGAGCACAGGAGCGGCTAGGCTTTGAGGAGCTCCGTTGTCACCCCTTCTTCTCCACTGTGGACTGGAACAACCTGAGACAAGGTGAGCCCTGGCCCCCTCCTAACTGACCAGGGTCGTATTCATTAGGCACCAAATGGGGAAACAAATGAACTTGTCCAATAAGAAAAGTTTATTTTCGGTTTCCGTTGCGAAACGTTTTCAAACTTTTCCATTGAGTGCCCTGATGAATACGACCCTGCTTACAAGCTGATCATGGTCCTTCTCACCTCTCCCCTTGTTTATGAATGTGTGTCTTATCTATCCAGCGCTGCAAGGTGGAGAAGCACCATTGAAGAAAAACTAGGGTTTGATTTGGTTTAATCAGATAGTTCACTCAAACTAAAAGCTGACAATTTTCCACTTACCTTGGTGGTTGATTCACTAAGACAGTTTTTGGATATACAGTATATTTAGGTTACTTCAGTACTTAGCTTGAAGAGCCCTTTCTTATTGATCAGTTGATTGATGGAATGCACACACTTGAAATACAGCACTCAAGTGCTTTCTGTTCTTCCCAAAACTACTAAAGTAAACAAATATTGTACACAGTACACTACACACAGAGTAGTAGTGGCGTCAGTAGTTGTGAGAAAATAAGATTGGCTACGGTCTGGCAGGAGGCCAGCTCACTCCAGAGGGGGGATGTTGAGGAGAGTTTAGCAGCTGTGTGTGTGTGAGATCCTCAGGAGAGCAGGGGAAAAGCTGGATATAGGGAATATATCGATGAGAGAAACGCTTGTGTGTTAGAGCTCAGAATCACTCAATAGCATTGAAACATTATGAGAATGTCATGAGAAGAATGCAAGAGCCTTTGATTGACCAGATATGGCAAATTGCCTCATTTGATGCTCACAATTTCCGATTGTTGTCAGGGTAAATAGATGAACGGCTGGAATTAGAATTACTATGGACAATTCTATATCTGGAAGAGGATCTACTGGAATATCTTTCCTTTCATGAAAGAGCTGTGATGTGTGGACCCTGATAGAAAGAAAATTGTTGCTAAATTCAGTAAGAAATTGAGTCACGTGTCCAAGCACTTGATCATAGAGCTCCTTTGTTTCATTGACATTAAAACACAGCATCAGGATGTTTTGTTAATTGTCTATCAGATCAGATGTGACCTGGGTGGCTGTTCACCCGTCAGCTTAATGGGCTATTTGTCAAATATGCTAATCAAAGGAACGTTAGTGAATCTAAATACTGCCTCTGCTTTCAAATGCTGTTAAAGACTACTGTAAGATGGTGTGATTGGTGTGTGTCTTAAATGCAGGAGTGTGTGTGTCTTGTGCAAATGTATGGGGCTGGGCTTGTCAATGGTTGAGTGTGTGCAGAACAGAGCAGCTAGAGCGCTAGGCTATAGGGCTGTGCTTTGGCGGCTGTGGCTCCAGCTGATTAGCCCGAGCTGCTGCAGTGAGAGAGAGGGAGACACTACAGCGTATGTATGAACGGGAGGGAGGGAGGGATCGAGGGAGGGAGGCAGGAGAGAGCAATGCATGAGTGTGTGTGAGAGAGGGAGGGAGCGACAGATTGATTGTGTGTGTGTGTGTGTGTGTGTGTGTGTGTGTGTGTGTGTGTGTGTGTGTGTGTGTGTGTGTGAGAGAGCGCGCGCGCGAGTTGCTGCGCTACAGCCACGTCTCATCCCCTCACTTCCCCCATTTTTTAAATCTGTTGCCTCTTTCCCGGCGTATCTCGCTCTCTCACTCACTCTCTCCCTCACTCACTCACTCTCTCCCCTCCCGCAGCCCTCCCTCCCTTTGTGCCGACGCTCCGCGCCGAAGATGATACCTCCAATTTCGAGGAGCCTCCGGAGAAGCCCCGGCGAGCGGATGCCCATCGAGACCCCCCGCGGCCGGGCTTCCAGGGCCAGGACCTGCCCTTTCTAGGCTGGTTCTTCAGCAGGGCGTTGACAGTGCTGGCCAAGTCTGAGTAAGTACTGTAGCTTGACCTGCGTCTGTCAGCCGAACTCCTCTCTGCTTGATAGGCGTCAGTCACAGGTGGTGGCAGGTCTGATCTGCCTTGAGTAACGCCACGGCAACGCTCTCCAGGTATTATCCAACCATATCTTTTTATATGCTGCCTGAGTCTATAGGCTGCTTTTCTCCTCCTGCAGTGGCAGTGCTTGGCTGGTGGCTCTATCATGGGATTGCTGTGTCAGACGGAATAAGGGGATCACCTCTCTCTCTCCTGTCTCCTTGGAGACAAGCCCCTCTTTCATGCGTTCATCCAGTCATAAACACAGACCGGATTCTAACTGACTGTTTTCACCATTGAAAACAAAGCTCTCTGATTGAGAAAGGTTGGGATTGAGAATGAGACTAGTAGTTTGTCTACCTCTCAGACTGCTGTGGAGATCAGTCAGACCAGAGCTGAATCGCTGAATGGTAGGAGAACGTAGATTGCTGATATTATTGGACTATCAGAGCTGGTTGGTATTCCGGTGAGTGTGTCGATGGCGTGTGCTGCTGTGAGGTGGAGGAGACCCTCCCCTCTCTCCCCTCCTCAGTTGTGTGCATGTTATGGGGCTCTGTCTTTGTTATTGCCGCGCAGCGTATAATGGCTTTGCCAAATTAACAGCGGTTTGGTTGGTAATTGACTCAACTAGTCAGTGGCTTGCTGATTCCCTAATAATGCTGCCCCTGGTTAATTTCTAGCACTGACTGTTCCCTGTGGCAGGTTAATTGCAGAATCTGCCAGTGATGATGCAGAAAAGGAACAGAAAGAAGAAAAGGCACACACAAATATTAAGCTAGATTAGTCAGAGAAAGGAGGGATGCAGATTGGTGGAGAGAATGTATTTCTATGGAAACCAGCATGTTTTTTTGACCCCATCTCTCTCTCTCTTTTTCTCTTGCTCACTCTCTCTCTCCCTCCCTCCCCCTGTTTTACATTCACATATTTTATTTTGTCTCCCACAATGCTTTATCTCCCTATCAAACGGTGATCTGTTTTTTATTTTATTTTTTTGCACTGCTTTTAACGGTAACAAACAAGCAGCTCAAACAACACACAGAAGCTGCTTGTGTTACCTACGAAAAATGTGTATGAGGGCTTGTTGTATATTCAACTGCTCATTAAGCCCAATTAGGGAAGAATACAGTGCAATCCAGGCAAATGGTCATTTGTTTAGCATAGTGGAAGCAGATGGGAGCTCCTGTAGCTGACCAGTGCTAACATGTAACCACACAGAGCCTGCCCAGCCATCAGTCCTGGCTATCTATGATAATGCAGCCAGCGCTGGCCATTGATATATTATCTCTGCACAGTGTGATGCAGGTAGTGATGCCCATCCTGTGTGTTTTGCTGTTCGCCAGCCTCAGTCTCTCCCAGGGGCATTGTGATGATGAGGGAAGCATCTTGCTCAGCACGCCTTCAAGGAAAACTGGTGCTGATTTTTGTGGGTGTGTGTTATGTCATGTACCTGTTTTTTGGGCATTTCAATGTATCGGTCCGTTTCAATCTGTACTCATGTAATGGTGGTCCTGAGCACTCTAGGAAATGGGCTGGAGTGTTTACACTGCAGATTTCTATAGTTTGGCATTTAGCAAAGCTTTCTCATGGTTTGTTTGTCGGACCATATGTCCTTACGTTAACAAGATTCTCTGTGATAGCTAGACATTGACTTGTTGCAGATAAAAGGCTGTGTGTGATGACGTAGTGCACATAAAAATAACTTTTGCGGTTAAATTCCCATGTACTGAATAAATACATATAGTAATAGTACCGAATACAAGTTAAATGGGTTTCCATTGCATTTTCAATTCTGTCACACGTATTCAGACCCCTTGACTTTTTCCACATTTTGTTACGTTACAGCCTTATTTTCCCTCATCAATCTACACAAAATACCCCATAATGACAAAGCAAAAACAGGTATTTTGAAATTTGGAAATATCACATTTACATAAGTATTCAAACCCTTTACTCAGTACTTTGTTGAAGCACCTTTGGCAGCGATTACAGCCTCAAGTCTTGGATATGATGCTACAAGCTTGGCACACCTGTATTCTCTGCAGATCCTCTCAAGCTCTGTCAGGTTGTATGGGGAGCATCGCTGCATAGCTATTTTCAGGTCTCTCCAGAGATGTTAGATCGGATTCAAGTCCGGGCTCTGGCTGGGCCACTCAACGACATTCAGAGACTTGTCCCAAAGCCACTCCTGCGTTGTCTTGGCTGTGTGCTTAGGGTCGTTGTCCTGTTGTAAGGTCAACCTTCGCCCCAGTCTGAGGCCCTGAGTGCTCTGGAGCAGGTTTTCATCAACGATCTCTCTGTACTTTGCGCCGTTCATCTTTCCCTCGCACCTGACTAGTCTCCCAATCTCTGCCGCTGAGAAACATCCCCACAGCACAATGCTGCCACCACCATGCTTCACCGTAGGGATGGTGCCAGGTTTCCTCCAGACGTGACGCTTGGCATTCAGGCCAAAGAGTTCAATCTTGGTTTCATCAGAACGGAGAATCTTGTTTCTCATGGTCTAAGAGTCCTTTAGGTTCCTTTTGGCAAACTTCAAGCGGGCTGTCATGTGCCTTTTACTGAGGAGTGGCTTCCGTCTGGCCGTAAAGGCCTTATTGGTGGAGTGCTGCAGAGATGGTTGTCCTTCTGGAAGGTTCTCCCATCTCCACAGAGGAACTCTGGAGCTCTGTCACCTCCCTGACCAAGGCCCTTCTCCCCCCCCCGATTGCTCAGTTTGGTCAGGCGGCCAGCTCTAGGAAGAGTCTTGGTGGTTCCAAACTACTTCCATTTAAGAATGTTAGAGGCCACTGTGTTCTTGGGGACCTTCAATGCTGCAGAAATGTGTTGGTACCCTTCCCCAGATCTGTGCCTCGACACAATCCTGTCTCGGGGCTCTACGGACAATTCCTTCTACTTGGTCTTGGCACATGCGCTCTAGCCAACAGCTTGCAGATACAGTGCGGGTAGCCTATAGCCTAAATTATGATATTATTATGAACAAAAAAGCGAGATTATTTTTATTTGTCAAACTGCAGCCAAGCATCTATCATCCTGTCATTAGAATAAGACCGTCAATATTTATTGGAAAGGAGCATCAAGCTCATTACTTTGCACTTTCACCACCCTGTGAGAAGTGTAGCCTAATAAACTGCATAGACCACACAACATACAGTGCTTTCAGAAAGTACAGTGCCTTGCAAAATAATTCATCCCCCTTGGCGTTTTTCCTATTTTGTTGCATTACAACCTGTAATTTAAATTTGATTTTTATTTGGATTTCATGTCATGGACATGCACAAAATAGTCCAAATTGGTGAAGTGAAATTAAAAAAATAACTTGTTTCAAAGAATTCTAAAAAATTTAATAACAGAAAAGTGGTGTGTGCATATGTATTCACCCCCTTTGCTTTGAAGCCCCTAAATAAGATCTGGTGCAACCAATTACCTTCAGAAGTCACATAATTAGTTAAATAAAGTCCACCTGTGTGCAATCTAAGTGTCACTATATATATATATATATATATATATATATATATATATACACCTGTTCTGAAAGGCCCCAGAGTCTGCAACACCACTAAGCAAGGGGCACCACCAAGCAAGCGGCACCATGAAGACCAAGGGGCTCTCCAAACAGGTCAGGGACAAAGTTGTGGAGAAGTACATATTTGACACTTAACATCCCACGGAGCACCATTAAATCCATTATTAAAAAATGGAAAGAATATGGCACCACAACAAACCTGCCAAGAGAGGGCCGCCCACCAAAACTCACGGACCAGGCAAGGAGGGCATTAATCAGAGAGGCAACGGAGACCAAAGATAGCCCTGAAGGAGCTGCAAAGCTCCACAGCGGAGATTGGGGTATCTGTCCATAAGACCACTTTAAGCCAAAAACTCCACAGAGCTGGGCTTTACGGAAGAGTGGCCAGAAATAAATAAGCAAACACGTTTGGTGTTCGCCAAAAGGCATGTGGGAGACTCCCCAAACATATGAAAGAAGGTACTCTGGTCAGATGAGACTAAAATTGAGCTTTTTGGCCATCAAGGAAAATATCTGGCACAAACCCAACACCTCTCATCACCCCGAGAACACCATCCCCACAGTGAAGCATGGTGGTGGCAGCATCATGCTGTGGGGATGTTTTTAATTGGCAGGGACTGGGAAACTGGTCAGAATTGAAGAAATGATGGATGGCGCTAAATACAGGGAAATTCTTATGGGAAACCTTTTTCAGTCTTCCAGAGATTTGAGACTGGGCTGGAGGTTCACCTTCCAGCAGGACTGCTAAATCAACACTTGAGTGGTGTAAGGGGACACATTTAAATGTCTTGGAATGGCCTAGTCAAAGCCCAGACCTCATTCCAATTGAGAGTCTGTGGTATGACTTAAAGATTGCTGTACACCAGCGGAACCCATCCAACTTGAAGGAGCTGGAGCAGTTTTGCCTAGGAGAATGGGCAAAAATCCCAGTGGCTAGATGTGCCAAGCTTATAGACATACCCCAAGAGACTTGCAGCTGTAATTGCTGCAAAAGATGGCTCTACATAGTATTGACTTGGGGGGGGGGGTGAATAGTTATGCACACTCAAGTTTTTTTCTTTTTTTCCCCATAAATAAAAATATTTTGCATCTTCAAAGTGGTAGGCAGGTTGTGTAAATTAATACAAACCCCCCAAAAATCAATTTTAATTCCAGGTTGTAAGGCAACAAAATAGGAAAAATGCCAAGGGGGGTGAATACTTTCACAAGCCACTGTATTCACACCCCTAGACTTTTTCCAGATTTTGTTCTTACAAAGTGGGATTCAAATGGATGTAATTGTCCTTTTTTTGGTCAAGGATCTACACAAAATACTCTGTGGAAGAAAAATCCCAACATTTGTAAACAATGAATGAAAAATAAAACACTATCTTGATTAGATAAGTATTCAAACCCCTGAGTCAAAACATGTTAGAATCACCTTTGGCAGCGAGTACAGCTGTGAGTCTTTCTGGGTAAGTCTCTTATTTGTTAATTTTTTTTGCACATTCTTTTAAAAATTCTTCAAGCTCTGTCATGTTGGTTGTTGATCATTGCTTGACAGCCATTTTCAAGTCTTGCCATAGATCTTCAAGACGATTTAAGTCAAATCTGTAACCAGGCCACTCAGGAACATTCAATGTCGTCTTGGTAAGCAACTCCAGTGTTTATTTGGCCTTGTGTTTTAGGTTATTGTCCTGCTGAAAGGTGAAATTGTCTCCCAGTTTCTGTTGAAAGCAGACGGAACCAGGGTTTCTTCTAGGATTCTGCCTGTGCTTAGCTCTATTCCGTTTCTTTTTATCCCCCAAAAAACTCCCTAGTCGTTGCAGATTACAAACATACCCATAACATGATGCAGCCACCACTGTGCTTGAAAATATGAAGAGTGGTACTAAGTATTGTGTTATGTTGTATTCAGGACAAAAAGTTAATTTCTTTGCCACATTTATTGCTGTTTTACTTTAGCGCCTTATTGCAAACAGGATGCATGTTTTGGAATATTTGTATTCTGTACAGGCTTCCTTTTTTTCACTCTGTCATTTAGGTTAGTATTGTGGAGTAACTACAATGTTGTTGATCTATCCTCAGTTTTAAAGTCACCATTGGACTCATGGTAAAAATCCATGAGCGGTTTCCTTCCTCTACGGCAACTAAGTTAGGAAGGACGTATTTGTATTTGTAGTGACTTGGTGAATTGATACATCATCCAAAGTGTAATTAATAACTTCACCATGCTGAAAGGGATATTCAACGTCTGTTTTTGTTTTTGTATCTACCAATAGGTGCCCTTCTTTATGAGGCATCGGAAAACCTCTCTGGTCTTTGTGGTTGAATCTGTGTTTGAAATTGACTGCTCGACTGAGAGACCTTACAGATAATTGTATGTGTGAGGTACAGAGATGAGGTAGTCATTCAAAAATCATGTTAAACACTTATTGCACACTGAGTGAGTCCATGCAACTTGTCATGTGACTTGTTAAGCAAGTTTTTAGTCCTGAACTTATTTAGGCTTGACTGACAACATTTTAGCTTTTCATTTTTTATTAATTTAAACACATTTAAAAACATAGTTCCACTTTGACATTATGGGGTATTGTGTATAGGCCAGTGACACAACATCTGAATTTAATCTATTTTTAGTTCAGGCTGTAACCCAACAAATTGTGGAAAAAGTCACATAGATCTCAACTTGTCTACATTTGGAAAGTTTTCTGACAAATTTGCGCTTTCCATCAGGCCTGTCGTGACATGTACTTTACTTGCATAAAAAGGTTGGATGGAAACCTGTTTACTCACAGCTTTATATAGTAGTCAGGGAAATACATTTTGTGAGAGGAAATACAAATGGTTCTAACATAATAATTTTTGATGAAAGCTATAAAAACACGTTTTCCATCAGAGCTGGCCAGAAAAGTAACATGTTAACAATGGATCAATATCCCTGTGCATTACATGAGATTTACGCTTACACATAGCACTTCATTTCTTTGATATAGCCTACTGTATCTGTAGTGGTGAAGGAATGACACTGAGCAAGATTAGCCTTCCTTTTTTAAACATAAATTGAAGAGTTAGGCCTATACATCATGAGTTTACTCCTATGACATCAAAAACATAGGCTTTATTGTTATGATGATAATGTCAGACTTTCTTCACTTGTTTTTTTAAGTCGATAGTTCCGTCCTACAACATCAAGCGGTTGATTTATAGTAACTTCCCTTTAATATCTTAATTAATATCTTGATTACTATGTTAATCATCCCTTATCTAATTACCACAAATTAAGCTTATAAGCATGAGGATTGACTTCAAAGTCATTATCTGCCAAATCCAATTTTAACTTTTCAGTTTGACTCAACATAGTCTAGATGGACAGTCATTGTACGAAATTATATTGAGAAGAGAAATGGGCCTAGTTGCTTTCAATTAAATGGTATTATAAATGCATTATTGTTGAGTTTAAATGGCTGTCATGAAATAGGCTAGGCTAGTCGATGGCCTATAATCTGGATTTAAGAAACTATTGAGTGCCAGTTAGAATTAGACACATATTTGTCAAACTCAAGGAGCACAACCCTTTGCATTCAATTCAAAATGAGATATGAGTTTTTGTCAAAGAATGTGTTCTTCCTTATGCCTTGTCCCAGGTCAGTGACTTCAGGCCTCAACTCTCCTGCCAAAACCAGCTCCATGGAGAAAAAGCTTCATATTAAAAGCAAAGAACTTCAAGAAACTCAAGACAAATGTCACAAGGTAATGTGCTGCTTCATTTTTGTGTGTTTTCTTTCCTGGAAATGGGCCACATATAGTCTCCAGGCACTATTTAACCTGAATGTAAACACATCTCGACTCTCCAACTGTATTCTCCCTCTCAGATGATTTGTTTACACACATTGATTTTTAATTGATGAACTCATTTAAATATCTCATTGAAATCTGAGATAATTAGGAGGTTGTAGTGGAGTTATGATGTGCATACTGCTGCGTGCGCAGTGTAGCATACACATGGCATACTCTCTTGATGGATATTGATTTGAGTGCAAATATAACCAATATAGTCTAAAATCAGCTTTTTAACCCAATTAATTACTGTTAATTAATTATGTATTTATTACCCGATGGGGCAGGAGATCTCGCATGACAGTTACAGTGATATGGGGCAAACTTTAACATTATGCACCTTTTTGAGTGAATATCTCATCTCATTTGACAAAATGTATACAACTCTGAGAAAGAAACATTTCTGTTTACAACTCTGGAAAATAAAGCTTTGAGTCACTGTACAATATTTAGCTTTGGTGTCCCTTGTGGCTTATTTCCTAGATGGAGCAGGAAATCTCTAGGTTTCAGCGCAAGATGACCGACCTGGAGTCAGTTCTGCACCAAAAGGATGTGGAGCTCAAAGCCTCTGAGACCCAGAGGACTATCCTGGAGCAGGACCTGGCCACCTACATCACTGAGTGCAGCGTGAGTACCTAATTATATGTGTCCATCCAAAACTATACTTACGGTTACAGCCATTTTGCTATAAAATAAATGTGTTAACTCCATGTCTTAGAATATCTAGTTGCATATCTACACATATAGTGGAGTGAATATTGGACAATGGCGTGTCTCCATGCATCTGTTACTACATTACAACCTTTTTAATGCGTCCCATATAGTTTAGTATATGCATGACTTCTGAGAATAATGCGGTGTTGTCATACATTTCTCCACTTGAGTAGAGTAGACCTACTGCATTATAGGATGATATATTTGAATGCATTGGGATTTATTTACGGTGTGTGTGTGTTATTTGTGCGTGTGTTTCCACAGAGCTTAAAGCGCAGCCTGGAGGCAGCCCGTGTGGAGGTGTCTCAGGAGGATGACAAGGCTCTGCAGCTGCTGCATGACATCAGAGAGCAGAGCAGCAAGCTGCAGGAGATCAAGGAGCAGGTAGAATCACACTTAAACTTTGACTTCACTTCATCAACCCCGTCCTTACCATTGAACCGCATGCTTACTGAATTTTTACCCCAAGAGCCGTATGTATCAAGCATGTCAGAGCAGGGCTCTGCAGTGCGACCATTTTACTTAAGTATACGCCTAAATATCTTGCTGTGCGACCTGGAATTTTAATTTAGGAGCACCAGTGTGCCTAGAAAAATGAAGGATTCTAGCTTTACTATCGCAAATATTTTTCATTGTGCTCCTATATTTGTGTGCACCTACATCTTTCAACTTAGGCGCACACGTGCTCCTTGTGAAAAGAAGACAGCATAGAGCCCTGCAGAGTATGAGTTGGATCAGGTTATGATGTAAAAGGCCAAACTGGTCCTAAATTAGCATTCCTACTCTGAGATGCTTGATACATACGGCACCAAACCTACTAACTAACCCTCTGCCTTTCTGAGTTGAATGCATCACACAACTAAAGTTGTGTCCCAAACTCAAGACATGTCCCCTAGAGGTTCTAGTAAGGGAAACACCATTTTGTAAACTTTCCCAAAATCTAGAACACATAAAATGCACTCTAGTAAGAAACAATGATGTATGTCTATGATCAGGGCTCTTGGATCCTGAAAGCACTCAATGGTCAGTGAGCACCTTAGTTCATTGTGTAGCCAGGCCAGTGTTACTTTTCCGCTCTTCCATCTCTGTCTCATATCTACATTGTAAGGTCATCATTAGAACATCCATCATACAGAAGCCCTTTTCATATTTGCAATACATAATGCATATGCTCTTTAATGCAGTATATTATTGCACTCATCACTAACTGTACAGTATCGTTCTCTTTAGTATTACCTTCTTCTGTGACCCTTCACACAAATATTGGTAGACACAATGACATACACGCACACACACTTCGTCATGGAGAGTATGGCTTTATAATGCGGTCCTTTGTAGTAGGGCTGGGAGTTGCCAGGGACCTCACGATATTATCACGATTCTTAGGTGCAGATACGATATGTATTGCGATTCTCACGATTTTATATGTATTGGGATTCAATACTGTGATTGTATTGCGATCCGATGTTCCAAACATATTGCTCACCATATGTCTGCTGCAGAGGGACAAGACAGAGCCATGATAAAACATGTTTTGATCAGTCATGGAAATAAAAGTGCTGAAAACAAATTGACTCTGTATTTAAAAAGAAGAACAAGGGAAAATACTGGAGTTTTGGTGAAAGTACAGCCAACTAGCAAATTAATTTTGCGATATTGTCAAAACGATACGATATATCGTAAAAAATATGCAACTATCTTAAAAAAAAAAAAAATCACTACTTTGTAGCTCAATTGGTAGAGCATGGCGCTTGTAACACCAGGGTAGTGGGTTCGATTCCCGGGACCACCCATACGTAAAATGTATGCACGCATGACTAAGTCGCTTTGGATAGAAGCGTCTGCTAAATGGCATTTATTATTATTATTATTATTATTATTATTATTATATTTGTAACTCTTATGTGTCCTTTTAAACATAAACACAAGGAGACACACACACACAAAATCCTTTGTAGAGACTAGCCTGGCATAGTGAGTGTCTGTGGTCTAGGAGCCAGTGATTGGTCTAGGAGCCAGTGATTGGTCTAGGAGCCAGTGAATGGTCTAGGAGCCAGTGAATGGTCTAGGAGCCAGTGATTGATGTTCTCTGTGGCAGGCAGCAGTGTGAGAGAGTTCCACACCCACAGTAGGGATCAGCAGGCTTAGCAAGCCTCTCTTTGTCTGTGATTCATCCACTCCACATGCTCATATACTATACAGCGGCAGGTAAGAGGCTTTTACCCCACCCTCTCAATGAGAGGCTCATTCTACTGCTGTTAGTACAACAAGCCAGCTCTAGTCGGATATGATCAATTTGAAACCTGTATGTGTGAATCATTAAGGGAAAAGACTCAAGAGGACTTTTGTTTTGACGATGTGATGATTATAAGGATGATGTTTTCCGTCCTGAAGAGTGGATGTCATTATAGTAATTATGAAACCTTTTAAAATCCTCCACGACAACTCCGCAGAAATGATGAGCCAGTCACACACACACACACACACACACACATTCATGAGGCTTTAATTCCCAGGGGCCCAGCATATGTTCATCCTGGCCTGCATATAATTCTCTTGAACTACGCGTGTAATTTTCTTTGCCCTGTGTCCCAGGAGTATCATGCCCAGCTGGAGGAGGCAGACCCACACTGAACCCTTGTCTCTCTCTTTGCCCCCTGCGGTAGGAGTACCATGCCCAGCTGGAGGAGATGCAGGTCACCATCCGGCAGCTGGAGGAGGACCTGTCTGCCGCCAGGCGCCGTAGTGACCTGTACGAGTCAGAGCTCCGAGACTCCCGGAACACCAGCGAGGAGCTCAAGAGGAAGGCTGTGGACTACCAGCAGAGGATCCAGAAGGTGTGTGAATACTGAGTAGGAACTCATGGAGGTGAATAAAGGTGCAATCTGAATGCTAACATGTGGGATTTCTGTCCCCAAGGCCAAGGAGCAGGGTAAAGCTGAGGTGGAGGAGCTCCTTTCCAAACTGGAGAAGGTATGCCCTGCTGTCCATGGGTGAACTGTATTGTGGATTACTCTTCAAAAATCTTTGGGTATTGAATCGTCGTTTTGTGAAGTCCCATAGAGAATGAAATGGATAATATCAATAATTTATGTATTGCCTTGCACTGATGCGTTTTGGGCTCAGCCTTCTGCAGAGATTAGGTCCCATTATTAATAGATCAATTTCACACATTGGCATTACAGTCAGCTAATCTTTCATACTGTTTTTCAGACCAATGCTGAACAGCAAGTGAAAATCCTGGAACTCCAAGACAAACTCTCCAAGGTATATTTTCTAAAGTACAGAGCACACACACACACAGGTGTCCTGCACGTCACCATAGAATAGCTTAGTGAACCAAAATGAATGATTTAGTTATCAGCGGTCATCACTGTGGTCCAATAGGTACATAGCTATGAATAGCTTCTGATGTAAGGAGTCATTGACATTCACAGTTCACTGAAGTTGTGGGTACAAACGTTTCTTGGCTAAATGGCAGTGCCATTTAATTATGTTGTATCATACCCTTGTTGCCTGTGTTGGGATCTTGGGAATAAAAAGGCATGAAGCCTAATGGCCTTTGTTGTCTCATTTGACCCTTGACCCCCAGGCGGTGAAAGCCAGTACAGAAGCCACGGAGCTGCTGCAGAACATCCGGCAGGCTAAAGAACGTCTGGAGCAGGAGCTTGAGCGGCTGCGCGGCAAGGCCGACCCCAGCGACACCCTCCGACGACGTCTCAGAGAGACCGAGGTACGGTTGTTCATGTTTAGTTGTTTTGAATTGTAATGATTTATTGTGTTACATCCATGTACTGTATTTCAGTCACGGGAGGTTGGTGGCACCTTAATTGGGGAGGACGGGCTCGTGGTAATGGCTGGAGCGGAATTAGTGGAATGGTATCAAACACATGGTTTCTATGTGTTTGATGCCATTCCAGCCATTATTATGAGCCGTCCTCCCCTCAGCAGCCTCCACTGATTTCAGTGTTGTTGACTGTCATGTGGGTATTATTAAGAACTTGTTGTGTGTCCTGCAGGAGGGCAGGAAGACCCTGGAGAACCAGGTGAAACGTCTGGAGATGGTGGAGCGACGAGAGAACAAGCTGAAGGATGACATCCAGACCAAATCCCAGCAGATCCAGCAGATGGCTGATAAGATCCTGGTGAGAGCCGAGGGCTAAGTCCCCTCTTAATACCCTGACCCCCCTCCACTCCTCTATTCCTCTCTATACTACCTTTATCCTAGAGCATAGATTCAAGCATGCACATTCACACGAATAGTCGCACACATACACACACACACACACACACACACACACAGGGAATGTCCTGCTTGCTGTCCCATGGCATGCACACACCCATTTCTCTCACTTTGGATGTCCCTCCTGCTGTCACAAGCCACAAAGAAACCACCACTCACACAGGCGACCTCTTTCCTTACGCGCACCGGTCGGGCTGCATGCCAACATGAACGGCCACCGCTACCACCGTGTCATGGATAAACAGCTCTTCCAAGCAAGTGTCTCTGTCATGGACTGAGTGACAGTGTGGATAGTGCTTTCATCCATATTGTGTTGTTTCCTTTCATGTTCATTTTGTAGTTTCTTGTCATTACCTTGTGTGATATATGGTGTGTTTGCTTGTACAGGAGCTGGAAGAGAACCTGAGGGAGACCCAGTCCACAGCCCAGCGGATGGAGGCTCACCTGGTGCAGAAGGAGAGGCTCTATGAGGACAAAATTAAGGTAGAGAGGACTTTAAGTCATCCTTGAGACCATGATGTGCAGGCTGTCTTTCTGTATTGAAAAGTGTGGCCAAGTGAGTGTACTAGTGACCTGGCTTTCTTGGTCCCCCAGATCTAGGGGTACTGTTCGATTGGGCACACCATAGCAAAACAGTTTGCAACAGAATTAAATAAATCGGTGTTCTTATTGGACAAGGTCAGGTAGTACCTCCGCATTGCACTCAGTTTCAAAACATTTTGAATACTGCCCAGGTTCTGGAGGCCCAGATGAAGGTGGACCTGGCAGACAAGGAGAGCCTGGAGTCCAAACGGGCTCAGCATGAGGAAGAGGCCCGGGAGAAGTGTAAGCTCCTCAGTGAACAGAAAGCGGTAAGACCATATTTCAATGTAAATAATACAATGTGTTCCGACTTATTTTTCTCTGCCAATCTCATCAATTCTGCTCAAGCAGGAAAAACTGGGCTAAAAGACTAAAATGAAACAAGGTGCAGCTGAAAAAGTTTTAACTAGCATACTCGCTTTGTACTTTTTAATTGACTGCACTCTTTGATTGTAGCCAGTTCTTTACTATATTGCTGTACAAAGCTGTGTAGATTGGCCATACAGTATGTGCAGGGATGTACAGTCCAACACGGTTTGCTTTTGTGAGGGTGAAAACTCTCTGCGAATATCAATGTGATGACTGTAGCTAATAGAGGAGAGGAATTGTTTTTATGACTCACATAGGCTACATGTTATAGAACAGGAGTGAGCCAATTAGACTCCCAATTATGGGGCCGCGTGGGCGAGAGTCTCCGAGACTTCTGCTACAGCTTGTGTTTGTTTGAGGACAGATCCTCTGACATGTTTATGGGCTAAGTTTCTTGTTTGTTTTGTTTGGTGCTCCACTCAATTTGTCGAAGGGAATGCTGTCAAGGCTGCGATTAATTCAGAGTATTCCATTACAGGGGGTCACTCTGCAAAGTCCAAGTTTAAGTCTGTAATCTGGTTAATGTGATAGACTTGAGTTAGCTACCACTAATAGGCTTTAGGATCAGAACCAGACGACATTTGACATTGACAGAAAGGGATTCTGGTCTGCACATGAATGTAGCATTAGCCTATGTATTAGTTTAGCATTTCAGTCCAGGGCATGTCCACGGTAACAGAGTGACACTGACACTCCGATTTTTCACTTTAAAATGCATGTCAAACAAAAACCAATGATTGCAAAGTTAAACAAACCATACAACTCTATGCACAATGACTACAGCATCACCCCGTTACCTTGGAATTGCTCTACAGTAGCTACAGTCAGAGCCATATATTTTATGATAATGCTTTTATATTTAGTCCCAGTCTGAATATATGGCTCTGGCTAAAATCTTCTACCATTTTCCCCCCGACAGTTTCAGGTGTCTGTTTTCATGGAAGTGATAAACAATCAACACATTTTTGTTGTGTGCGATGTACAAATGCGGTAAAATATATTGGCACCCTTGCATTTTACAATGGAGTGCAATGGAGCAGAATGTTCAGAATTTTTATTTTCAAAAACTGGTTGAATGCCTATTTTTACCTATAGGCACCTGCAACTTACCACAGGTGAGATAAATTACACAGTAAACGAGAATCATTGCCTACAATCATTTGCCTGTGCAGTTGTAAATCAGACAAACACAAGTAAACACCCACAGTATTCAATTTCAACTTATTTTAGAAGAAAGACTGCAAGGGTGCTGATACATTTGACCACATTTGTAAGCTGTAAGCGTGCTTCTTCATAAATAGATAGGATCCCATTACATCCATGTTTCAATTATTCACACCCTTCACAGTTTTCACATTATGTTCCCTTAAATTGAAATGGAAAAAAAGGCCTTAAAATGGGTTGTTATTTCATGTCTCTAAGTCTGCCTGTTTGTGTTGCACTTCCTTTTTTTCCAGACCATCAACGCCATGGACTCCAAGATGAAGAATCTGGAGCAGCGGATCAGCGAGCTCTCTGAGGCCAACAAGTTAGCTGCTAACAGTAGCATCTACACCCAGAAAAACATGTAAGTACAAACAGTAGCATCTACACCCAGAAAAACATGTGAGTACTAACAGTAGCATCTATATACCCAGAAAAACATCTGAGTACTAACAGTAGCATCTACACCCAGAAAAACATCTGAGTACTAACAGTAGCATCTACACCCAGAAAAACATCTGAGTACTAACAGTAGCATCTACACCCAGAAAAACATCTGAGTACTAACAGTAGCATCTACACCCAGAAAAACATCTGAGTACTAACAGTAGCATCTACACCCAGAAAAACATCTGAGTACTAACAGTAGCATCTACACCCAGAAAAACATCTGAGTACTAACAGTAGCATCTACACCCAGAAAAACATCTGAGTACTAACGGTAGCATCTATATACCCAGAAAAACATCTGAGTACTAACAGTAGCAGCTACACTACCGGTCAAAAGTTTCAGAACACCTACTCATTCAAGGGTTTTTCTTTATTTTTACTGTTTTCTACATTGTAGAATAATAGTGAAGATATCACAACTATGAAATAACACATATGGAATCATGTAGTAACCAAAAAATATATATTTGAGATTCTTCAAATAGCCACCCTTTGCCTTGATGACAGCTTAGCACACTCTTGGCATTCTCTCAACCAGCTTCACCTGGAATGCTTTTCCAACCGTCTTGAAGGAGTTCCCACTTATGCTGAGCACTTGTTGGCTGCTTTTCCTTCACTCTGCAGTCCAAATCATCCCAAACCATCTCAGTTTGGTTGAGGTCGGGGGATTGTGGAGGCCAGGTCATATGATGCAGCACTCCATCACTCTCTTCTTGGTAAAATAGCCCTTACACAGCCTGGAGGTGTGTTGGGTCATTGTCCTGTTGAAAAACAAATGATAGTCCCACTAAGCCCAAACCAGATGGGATGGCGTATCGCTGCAGAATGCTGTGGTAGCCATGCTGGTTAAGTGTGCCTTGAATTCTAAATAAATCACAGACAGTGTCACCAGCAAAGCACCCCCACACCATAACACCTTCTCCTCCATGCTTTACGGTGGGGACTACACATGCAGAGATCATCCGTTCACCCACACCGCGTCTCACAAAGACATGGCGGTTGGAACCAAAAATCTCAAATTTGGACTCCAGATCAAATGTCCATTGCTCGTGTTTCTTGGCACACGCAGGTCTCTTCTTCTTATTGGTGTCCTTTAGTAGTGGTTTATTTGCAGCAATTCGACCATGAAGGCCTGATTCACACAGTCCCCTCTGAACAGTTGATGTTGAGATGTGTCTGTGACTTGAACTCTGTGAAGCATTTATTTGGGCTGCAATTTCTGAGGCTGGTAACTCTAATGAATTTATCCTCTGCTGCAGAGGTAACTCTGGGTCTTCCATTCCTGTGGTTGTGCTCATGAGAGCCAGTTTCATCATAGCGCTTGATGGTTTTTGCAACTGCACTTGAATAAACTTTCAAACTTCTTGAAATGTTCCGTTTTGACTGACCTTCATGTCTTGAAGTAATGATGGACTGTCGTTTCTCTTCACTTATTGAGCTGTTCTTGCCATAATATGGACTTAGCCCTATTTGGTAAAAGACCATCTTCTGTATACCCCCCCACCTTGTCACAACACAACTGATTGGCTCAAACGCATTAAGGAGGAAAGAATACCTGCCTGAGGACAAAGTTACACAAATAATAAACAACTATGACAGGACTGATAAGAAGCCCAATATAAAGCAAACATATTTATCATACAAAAGAGCCCAAACTCCGAGTGATGTTTCACATTTTTACTCAGCGAAGATGTACCAGCTGAATACAGATTCAATACAGTGCAGTGTCCATTTATACCCTGAGCTCTCACCCCTCCCTTCCACAAAGATGTACTTAAGTACTTTTCCATCACCCAGGATTTCTCTGTGCTCCTCTGTGCATATCACAGGCTTATCTGTCAGGAGAGGCCTTGAGTTATTGGGAGTACACATTCCTGCAGTCCACTAAATAATTACACTTCTCATACACAGAGATTTAACCAAACACTAATTTCAATCTCTAAGGATATATAAAAACGATATATTCATACTAAGAGAATATAATTATATAAAACAGTCATATAAAACAGTAATTTACAATCTATCAGGACAATACAAAAATGTTAAACGTTCATGTGCAATAGTGTAAGACTTCAGTTGGTTAGCGATCTCAGGCTACCAAAACCAAAGAGTTGGAGATCTTGTAGCAGTCCTGCATTGCATCATGTTCACAGCAACATTTATGGAGATGAGCAGTGGCATGGCCAGTCCTTGCCCCTCAATACACTACTGTCTCCTCCCCCGCTGACTTGTTGTCCCAGCTAGCCCCTCTCGACAGAATAGCTAGCTAGGCTCTCTCGGCTAGTGGAAATTGCATCCTGCATCTCCATGGATACCAGGGGTTCAGACAAAAGGCTAAAATGTCCTTTGGTTGGCACCTTTTTATGTTGTTCATTAGTTAATACTACCACTCCTATGCACTGCACATGCATTGTTACACATTATATGCATAAAATAAACAAAACAGACAGGAGACGGAACCGACACCACCCGTCGCCATTACAGCGCCAAAAAATTATAATAAATAAAACACCTGATACTCCACACCCAACTAAACTCCATCTCCCTCAGTTCTCTTTCAATCATATCATTCTCTCCCCATCCCTTCAGAGAACCAAAGTTGTATACGTAACCAAATAAGTTTACAATTGTTACCCAAACAATGCATTTTTTGGTTGAAACCTCAATGGTCTCTCTCACTGTGTCTGGCTGTGGTTGTGGCAGGAAAGCCCAGGAGGAGATGATCTCGGAGCTGAGGCAGCAGAAGTTCTACCTAGAGTCCCAGGCGGGGAAGCTGGAGGCCCAGAATGCCAAGCTGGAGGAGCACCTTGAGAAGATGAGTCAGCAGGAGCAAAGCAAGAGGAGCCGTCTGCTGGAGCTGGAGACCAGACTCCGAGAGGTCAGAGTCGAACTGAACTGAATAAAATGTATTGATCCCCAGAGGGGAATTTGGATGAATAGGAGAGAAGCCAGGGAAGAGGAGAAGGGCTACCTGTATGGTGCAACAATTAGACTTTATGGGCTGGCTTCCCAGACACTGATTAAGCCAAGTCCTGGACTAAAAAGCATATTTGTGCTTTTGAAATTGCTTTTTTAGTCTAGGGCTAGGCTTAATCAGTGTCTGAGAAACCAGCCCAAAAAGTGTTGACTTTGGCTGGCATTTACACAAAGCTACTTGCATGCAACTTCAGTTGCAGTTTCAAGTAATATATCACCTCAAGCAACTTTACTGTTCTAAAGAAACAATTCATGAAACAAGGTGCAGTTGATTTACCCACACCCGTGTATTATCCAATCAAATCCAAAGCAAAGCCAAGGCCCTTTAACCTCTGACCCTTCAACCTTTGGTGTTCTAGATGGGCCTGGAGCACGAGGAGCAGAAGCTGGAGATCAAGCGTCAGGTGACGGAGTTGACGTTGTCGCTGCAGGAGCGGGAGTCCCAGATTAGCGGGCTGCAGGCGGCACGCCACGCCCTGGAGAGCCAGCTGCAGCAGGCCAAGACAGAGCTGGAGGACACCACCGCCGAGGCCGAGGAGGAGATCACTGCCCTCAGGGTGAGAGGAGAGGACGTTGGCAGGTCAACGAGACAAGTCAAACCTGCACAGCTATACACATGTAAATCACACCAGAGGTCAAGACTTTTGTTTTATTTTTTCAGGCTCACAGAGATGAAATCCAACGCAAGTTTGACGCCCTGAGAGACAGTTGCTCAGTAAGTAAAATGTGTCGGAATTCCAAACGCAGTAAATGTCAGTATAGATTAGAATGTCAGTTCAAGCAAAGCAATGAAAGATATAATGGTTGAATTCAGTTTGTGTGTGTGTCCCACCACCAGGTGATCACAGATCTGGAGGAGCAGCTGACCCAGCTGAGCCAGGAGAACGCCGAGCTGAACAGACAGAACTTCTACCTGTCCAAGCAGCTGGACGAGACCACGGACGAGACGGACGACCGCCTGCAGCTGGGACAGGACGTGGACCGCCTCCGCCGCGAGGTGGCCGACCGAGAGATGCACCTCAACAACCAGAAGCAGGTGACGGACGTCTGCTCATCATTTGTTTCCTGCACCTTCCTGAATGTTTGTTAAATGTTTGTGATACGTTCCATGACATAGGGACACTGAAGAAAGGCTGAATATATATATATATATATATATATATATATATATATATATATATATATATATATATATATATATATATATATATATATATATATATATATATAACAGTGAGAGAAAAAAGTATTTGATCCCCTGCTGATTTTGTAAGTTTGCCCACTGACAAAGAAATGATCAGTCTATAATTTTTATGGTAGGTTTATTTGAACAGAAAAACGCATGTCAAAAATGTTATAAATTGATTTGCATTTTAATGAGGGAAATAAGTATTTGACCCCCTCTCAATCAGAAAAATGTCTGGCTCCCAGGTGTCTTTTATACAGGTAACGAGCTGAGATTAGGAGCACACTCTTAAAGGGAGTGCTCCTAATCTCAGCTTGTTACCTGTGTAAAAGACACCTGTCCACAGAAGCAATCAATCAATCAGATTCCAAACTCTCCACCATGGCCAAGACCAAAGAGCTCTCCAAGGATGTCAGGGACAAGATTGTAGACCTACACAAGGCTGGAATGGGCTACAAGACCATCGCCAAGCAGCTTGGTAAGAAGGTTGGTGCGATTATTCGCAAATGGAAGAAACACAAAATAACTGTCAATCTCCCTCGGCCTGGGGCTCCATGCAAGATCTCACCTCGTGGAGTTGCAATGATCATGAGAACGGTGAGGAATCAGCCCAGAACTACACGGGAGGATCTTGTCAATGATCTCAAGGCAGCTGGGACCATAGTCACCAAGAAAACAATTGGTAACACACTACGCCGTGAAGGACTGAAATCCTGCAGTGCCCGGAAGGTCCCCCTGCTCAAGGAAGCACATATACAGGGCCGTCTGAAGTTTGCCAATGAACATCTGAATGATTCAGGGGAGAACTGGGTGAAAGTGTTGTGGTCAGATGAGACCAAAATCGAGCTCTTTGGCATCAACTCAACTCGCCGTGTTTGGAGGAGGAGGAATGCTGCCTATGACCCCAAGAACACCATCCCCACCGTCAAACATGGAGGTGGAAACATTATGCTTTGGGGGTGTTTTTCTGCTAAGGGGACAGGACAACTTCACCGCATCAAAGGGACGATGGACGGGGCCATGTACCGTCAAATCTTGGGTGAGAACCTCCTTCCTTCTGCCAGGGCATTGAAAATGGGTCGTGGATGGATATTCCAGCATGACAATTACCCAAAACAAACGGCCAAGGCAACAAAGGAGTGGCTCAAGAAGAAGCACATTAAGGTCCTGGAGTGGCCTAGCCAGTCTCCAGACCTTAATCCCATAGAAAATCTGTGGAGGGAGCTGAAGGTTCGAGTTGCCAAACGTCAGCCTCGAAACCTTAATGACTTGGAGAAGATCTGCAAAGAGGAGTGGAACAAAATCCCTCCTGAGATGTGTGCAAACCTGGTGGCCAACTACAAGAAATGTCTGACCTCTGTGATTGCCAAGAAGGGTTTTGCCACCAAGTACTAAGTCATGTTTTGCAGAGGGGTCAAATACTTATTTCCCTCATTAAAATGCAAATCAATTTATAACATTTTTGACATGCGATTTTCTAGATTTTTTTGTTGTTATTCTGTCTCTCACTGTTCAAATAAACCTACCATTAAAATTATAGACTGATCATGTCTTTGTCAGTGGGTAAACGTACAAAATCAGCAGGGGATCAAATACTTTTTTCCCTCACTGTGTGTGTATGTATGTATGTATGTATGTATGTATGTATGTATGTATGTATAAGTCGCTTTGGATAAAAGCGTCTGCTAAATGGCATATTATTATTATTATTATTATTATATATATATATATATATATATATATATATATATATATATACACACATACATACATACATACATATATATATATATATATATATATATATATATATATATATATATATATATATACACATACAGATACAGACTTGGCATAGGAGGTGACTAGTGTGTCAGGTCGTTATTGCAAACTAGAATGAGTTCTCAACTTCTCAATGACTTACCTGGTTACATAAAGACAAAATTAAACAAGTGACTGGTGTGCCTGTAGAACATTGAGACTCTGAAGACGACGTGCAGCATGCTGGAGGAGCAGGTTGTGGAGCTGGAGAGTCTGAATGATGAGCTGCTGGAGAAGGAGAGACAGTGGGAGGCCTGGAGGGGAGCCCTGGAGGACGAGAAGAACCAGGCTGAGAGGAGGACCCGAGACATGCAGCGCCTGATGGACAACGAGAAGCAGAATAGGTACACACACACACACACACACACACACACGCCAGGTATCATACACACATCAGCAAGCGTCATACACGCATGCGCACAAGCCTCATATATGCACACACGTACACGTGTCCTACCCACCCACACGCATCATACATAAACACATGCACACGTGCATCACACACAAACCCACACACTATACAGTACATACAAAGGTGCCACATTTATATATGCAAATGCCTGCACACACAAAACCATACACTGGCATCACACACACTAATCATACAAACATACCTACTACCCACACACAGTGAGTGTTAAGTTTCCGTGTGTGTGTAGGCTGCGTGCGGACCAGCGCAGTACCGAGTCCCGCCAGGCGGTGGAGCTAGCGGTCAGGGAGCACACAGCGGAGATCGTGGCTCTGCAGCAAGCCCTGAAAGAACAGAGACTGAAGGCAGAGAGTCTCTCTGATACGGTGAGTCTTGTCTATAGCGTGACACTAGCGACGGCAGGTTCATGGGTTTGATTCTTGCAGGGGTCACATACAGTACCAGTCAAAAGTTTGGACACACCTACTAATTCCAGGGTTTTCTTTATTTTTACTATTTTCTTATTGTAGAATAATAGTAAAGACATCAAACTATGAAATAACACATATGGAATCATGTAGTAACCAAAAAAGTGTTACCCAAATCAAAATATATTTGAGATTCTTCAAATAGCCACCCTTTGCCTTGATGACAGCTTTGCACACTCTTGGCATTCTCTCAACCAGTTTCACCTGAAATGCTTTTCCAACAGTCTTGAAGGAGTTCCCACACATGCTGTGCACTTGTTGGCTGCTTTTCCTTCACTCTGCGGTCCGACTCATCCCAAACCATCTCAATTTGGTTGAGTTCGGGGATTGTGGAGGCCAGGTCATCTGATGCAGCACTCCATCACTCTTCTTCTTGGTAAAATAGCCCTTACACAGCCTGGAGGTGTGTTGGGTCATTGTCCTGTTGAAAAACAAATGATAATCCCACTAAACCCAAACCAGATGGGATGGCGTATCGCTGCAGAATGCTGTGGTAGCCATGCTGGTTAAGTGTGCCTTGAATTCTAAATAAATCACAGACTGTGTCACCAGCAAAGCACCCCCACACCATAACACCTCCTCCATGCTTTACAATGAGAAATACACATGCGGAGATCATCCGTTCACCCACACCGCGTCTCACAAAGACATGGCGGTTGGAACCAAAAATATCAAATTTGGACTCCAGACCAAAGGACACATTTCCGTCGGTCTAATGTCCATTGTTCGTGTTTCTTGGCCCAAGCAAGTCTCTTCTTCATATTGGTGTCCTTTAGTAGTGGTTTCTTTGCAGAAATTCGACCATGAAGGCCTGATTCACACAGTCTCCTCTGAAAAGTTGATGTTGAGATGTGTCTGTTACTTGAACTCTGTGAAGCATTTATTTGGGCTGCAATTTCTGAGGCTGGTAACTCTAATGAACTTATCCTCTGCAGCAGAGGTAACTCTTGGTCTTCCATTCCTGTGGCAGTCCTCATGAGAGCCAGTTTCATCATACAGTGAGGGAAAAAAGTATTTGATCCCCTGCTGATTTTGTACGTTTGCCCACTGACAAAGAAATGATCAGTCTATAATTTTTATGTTATGTTTATTTGAACAGTGAGAGACAGAATAACAACAAAAAAATCCAGGAAAACGCATGTCAAACATTTTATAAATTGATTAGCATTTTAATGAGGGAAATAAGTATTTGACCCCCCTCTCAATCAGAAAGATTTCTGGCTCCCAGGTGTCTTTTATACAGGTAACGAGCTGAGATTAGGAGCACACTCTTAAAGGGAGTGCTCCTAATCTCAGTTTGTTACCTGTATAAAAGACACCTGTCCACAGAAGCAATCAATCAATCAGATTCCAAACTCTCCACCATGGCCAAGACTAAAGAGCTCTCCAAGGATGTCAGGGACATGATTGTAGACCTACACAAGGCTGGAATGGGCTACAAGACCATCGCCAAGCAGCTTGGTGAGAAGGTGACAACAGTTTGTGCGATTATTCGCAAATGGAAGAAACACAAAATAACTGTCAATCTCCCTCGGCCTGGGGCTCCATGCAAGATCTCACCTCGTGGAGTTGCAATGACCATGAGAACGGCGAGGAATCAGCCCAGAACTACACGGGAGGATCTTGTCAATTATCTCAAGGCAGCTGGGACCATAGTCACCAAGAAAACAATTGGTAACACACTACGCCGTGAAGGACTGAGGTCCTGCAGCGCCCGCAAGGTCCCCCTGCTTAAGAAAGCACATATACAGGCCCGTCTGAAGTTTGCCAATGAACATCTGAATGATTCAGAGGAGAACTGGCGGAAAGTGTTGTGGTCAGATGAGACCAAAATTGGGCTCTTTGGCATCAACTCAACTCGCTGTGTTTGGAGGAGGAGGAATGCTGCCTATGACCCCAAGAACACCATCCCCACTGTCAAACATGGAGGTGGAAACATTATGCTTTGGGGGTGTTTTTCTGCTAAGGGGACAGGACAACTTCACCGCATCAAAGGGATGATGGACGGGGCCATGTACCGTCAAATCTTGGGTGAGAACCTCCTTCCCTCAGCCAGGGCATTGAAAATGGGTCGTGGATGGGTATTCCAGCATGACAATTACCCAAAACACACGGCCAAGGCAACAAAGGAGTGGCTCAAGAAGAAGCACATTAAGGTCCTGGAGTGCCCTAGCCAGTCTCCAGACCTTAATCCCATAGAAAATCTGTGGAGGGAGCTGAAGGTTCGAGTTGCCAAACGTCAGCCTCGAAACCTTAATGACTTGGAGAAGATCTGCAAAGAGGAGTGGGACAAAATCCCTCCTGAGATGTGTGCAAACCTGGTGGCCAACTACAAGAAACGTCTGACCTCTGTGATTGCCAACAAGGGTTTTGCCACCAAGTACTAAGTCATATTTTGCAGAGGGGTCAAATACTTATTTCCCTCATTAAAATGCAAATCAATTTATAACATTTTTGACATGCGTTTTTCTGGATTTTTTTGTTGTTATTCTGTCTCTCACTGTTCAAATAAACCTACCATTAAAATTATAGACTGATCATGTCTTTGTCAGTGGGCAAACGTACAAAATCAGCAGGGGATCAAATACTTTTTTCCCTCACTGTAGCGCTTGATGGTTTTTGCGACTGCACTTGAAGAAACTTTCAAAGTTCTTGAAATGTTCTGTATTGACTGACCTTCGTGTCTTAAAGTAATGATGGACTTGGTCTTTTACCAAATAGGGCTATCTTCTGTATACCACCCCTACCTTGTCACAACACAACTGATTGGCTCAAATGCGTTAAGAAGGAAAGAAATGCCACAACTTTTAAGAAGGCACACCTGTTAATTGAAATGCATTCCAGGTGACTACCTCATGAAGCTGGTTGAGAGAATGCCAAGAGTGTGCAAAGCTGTCAAGGCAAAGGGTGGCTATTTGAAGAATCTCAAATATAAAATATATTTTGATTTGTTTTACACTTTTTTGGTTACTACATGATTCCATATGTGTTATTTCATAGTTTTGATATCTTCACTATTATTCTACAATGTAAAAAATTGTCAAACAAATAAAGAAGAACCCTTGAACGAGTAGGTGTGTCCAAACTTTTGACCGGTAGTGTATGTAAAAAAAAAAAAAATATGCACTCACTGTACTGAAGTCGCTTTGGATAAAAGTGTCTGCTAAATGGCATATATTATACACACCCTTTGAACTTGTGGTTGTGTGTGTTATCAGCTGAATGACCTGGAGAAGAAGCATGCCATGCTGGAGATGAACGCCCGCACCCTGCAGCAGAAACTGGAGACAGAGAGGGAGCTGAAGCAGAGGCTGATGGACGAGGTAGAGAGCACTCTGCAAACATAAATAAATACACAATATTGTATTTCATTTACACAAAGTAGATAAGCCTTGTCCGGGCCAGAACGGCTCATAGGGCAGGAGCCTATCTTCTGTTTGTAGTGTGAGGTAGCTTGATATACAAGTACACAGCTGGTCAGGACGTTAGTCCAATTTACACAAAAAGTTACACAAAATAGCTTTTAGCTTGTCTTGGAATGATGCGTGTTTGTGTGGTGACCTCCCCACCACAGCAAGGCAAGTTACAGCAGCAGATGGACCTACAGAAGAGCCACATCTTCCGTCTGACACAGGGCCTGCAGGAGGCTCTGGACCAGACTGACCTGCTGAAGACTGAGAGGACCGACCTGGAGTACCAGCTGGAGAACATCCAGGTAACAATACACTCACTCCCACTTAGACCATTTTTAACACACCTGAGCCCAGTTGTTCTCTGCTGGCCTGGGTCGTATTCATTAGGCAACAAACAGACTGAAACGGGGAGGGACAACGTGGTGTTGTCCAATAAGAAATGCTTATTTTCGTTTTGAAACATCCACAATAGTTGCTGGAATGGCTCAGCTCCTACAGCTAATTCCATTTGAGACGTTAGCTGGTAGCCTGGTACATTTATATTGACGTTGATTCTTTCTCCCACCACAGGCTGTATATTCTCATGAGAAAGTCAAGATGGAGGGCACCATTTCTCAGCAGACCAAGCTGATTGACTTCCTCCAGGCCAAAATGGATCAGCCCACCAAGAAAAAGAAGGTGAGAGAACTCAGTGATGGAAATGTGATGGCAGTTAATGGCGCAGTCTGCATAAGAGCAGATGTTTGTTGTTCTTCGACAGGACACACACACAGACTCAAACACACACAATACATCTTAATGTCACTGCATGTTTAATTAATGCCACACAAGTCCATGGCTCCTTCTGAAGCTCCAAGTCCCTCTAACTCTAACCCTTGCTCCCTCTCTCTCCTGCCAGGGTATCTTTGGGCGGCGGCGTGATGAGCTGGGGCCCAATGGGAATGGTGCTGGGGGGTCCGGGGCCCAGGCCCAGCCAGCATTGCCCATGCAGTACAGCGACATGAAGGTGGCCCTGGAGAAGGAAAGGACTCGCTGCTCAGACCTGGAGGAGGCCCTGCAGAAGATGAGGATAGAGCTGAGATCACTAAGAGAAGAGGGTGGGTGGTGTTGCCAACAACCTATTACAGGACCTACGCCCATATTCATAAAGCCTCTGAAAGCAGGAGTGCTTATCTAGGATCAGGTCCTCCCTGTTCTTGCAATATTATTAATTATTATTGAAAAGGCCAAACTGATCCTAGGTCATCACTCCTGTGAGTTGTTTGTGAATCCATGCCCTGATGATTGTCATAGTTTCTGGTTCAAATCCTTGTATCCCTTCCTTGAACTTCTCACTGATCTGCCATGATATTAGGGAGAGCAGTCCAGTGGAATGCTGACTTTATTCACCCTGTCTTCTTCAGGAAAGTGAGGACACATTTTTTGAAGTATTTCAACAGGGTCATAGTATATTGATGATGGAGACGATGCACACAAAGCCATGTTTCTGGTTTGTCTAAGTGTGCCAGGTGTAGCCAAAAGGCTAACGTTTCCCCCGTCTTCCTCCCTCCTTCCCAGCGGCCCATTTTAAAGTCTCAGAGCACGCCCCGGCCACACCAGCCTCGGCCCGCCAGCAGATCCTCATGTCGGCCATCGTCAAGTCCCCCGAGCGCCAGCCCAACCCCAGCAGCCTCCTGGCACCCTCCAGCTCTGCACGATGCAAGGAGAGCTCCACGCCCGAAGGTAAGTCCCACAGCCCCCGCTCTCTGTCTGTCTATCTGTTTCTCTCTCTCTCTTAGCCACTTTTAGAACTCTTAATTTTCTTTCTCTCTCATTCTGCTCACAGAGAAGAGAAGGGTGACTTTTGAAAGTAAGTGCATTCCCAGTTTGAAACCATCTTCCATCTCATTGTGCTTGTTTTGATGATAACATTTTTGTCACATGCGCCGAATACAACAAGTATTTACACTGAAATGCTTCTTTACGAGCCCTTTCCCAACATGCAGTTAAAAAGTAAGCCAATTTACAAATAGATAAAAATAAAATAGTAATAAAATAACAATAACGAGGCTATATATAGGCTATATACAAGGAGTACCGGTACAGAGTCAGTGTACTGGTGTACGAGGTAGTTGTGGTGATTGATTGAGGTAATACTGTATGTACAGTGGGGAGAACAAGTATTTGATACACTGCCAATTTTGCAGATTTTCCTACTTACAAAGCATGTAGAGGTCTGTAATTTTTATCATAGGTACACTTCAACTGTGAGAGACGGAATCAAAAATCCAGAAAATCACATTGTATGATTTTTAAGTAATTAATTTGCATTTTATTGCATGACATAAGTATTTGATACATCAGAAAAGCAGAACTTAATATTTTGGTACAGAAACCTTTGTTTGCAATTACAGAGATCATACGTTTCCTGTAGGTCTTGACCAGGTTTGCACACACTGCGGCAGTGATTTTGGCCCACTCCTCCATACAGACCTTCTCCAGATCCTTCAGGTTTCGGGGCTGTCGCTGGGCAATACGGACTTTCAGCTCCCTCTAAAGATTTTCTATTGGGTTCAGGTCTGGAGACTGGCTAGGCCACTCTAGGACCTTGAGGTGCTTCTTACGGAACCACTCCTTAGTTGTCCTGGCTGTGTGTTTCGGGTCATTGTCATGCTGGAAGAGCCAGCCACGACCCATCTTCAATGCTCTTACTGAGGGAAGGAGGTTGTTGGCGAAGATCTCGCGATACATGGCCCCATCCATCCTCCCCTCAATACGGTGCAGTTGTCCTGTCCCCTTTGCAGAAAAGCATCCCCAAAGAATGATGTTTCCACCTCCATGCTTCACGGTTGGGATGGTGTTCTTGGGGTTGTACTCATCCTTCTTCTTCCTCCAAACACGGCGAGTGGAGTTTAGACCAAAAAGCTCTATTTTTGTCTCATCAGACCACATGACCTTCTCCCATTCCTCCTCAGGATCATCCAGATGGTCATTGGCAAACTTCAGACGGGCCTGGACATGCACTGGCTTGAGCAGGGGGACCTTGCGTGCGCTGCAGGATTTTAATCCATGATGGCATAGTGTGTTACTAATGGTTTTCTTTGAGACTGTGGTCCCAGCTCTCTTCAGGCCATTGACCAGGTCCTGCCGTGTAGTTCTGGGCTGATCCCTCACCTTCCTCATGATCATTGATGCCCCATGAGGTGAGATCTTGCAAGGAGCCCCAGACCGAGGGTGATTGACCGTCATCTTGAACTTCTTCCATTTTCTAATAATTGCGCCAACAGTTGTTGCCTTCTCACCAAGCTGCTTGCCTATTGTCCTGTAGCCCATCCCAGCCTTGTGCAGGTCTACAATTTTATCCCTGATGTCCTTACACAGCTCTCTGGTCTTGGCCATTGTGGAGAGGTTGGAGTCTGTTTGATTGAGTGTGTGGACAGGTGTCTTTTATACAGGTAACGAGTTCAAACAGGTGCAGTTAATACAGGTAATGAGTGGAGAACAGGAGGGCTTCTTAAAGAAAAACTAACAGGTCTGTGTGAGCCGGAATTCTTCCTGGTTGGTAGGTGATCAAATACTTATGTCATGCAATAAAATGCAAATTAATTACATAAAAATCATACAATGTGATTTTCTGGATTTTTGTTTTAGATTCCGTCTCTCACAGTTGAAGTGTACCTATGATTAAAAATTACAGACCTCTACATGCTTTGTAAGTAGGAAAACCTGCAAAATCGGCAGTGTATCAAATACTTGTTCTCCCCACTGTACATGTAGGTTGGTTATTTGATTGATTGAAGTACTATGTACATGTAGGTAGGGGGTGAAAAGCAGAAAGTTTGGGCAGCCGTTTAATTAACTGTTCGACAGTCTTATGGCTTTGGGGTAGAAGGTGTTCAGGAGCCTTTTGGTCCGGTACCGCTTGCTGTGAGGTAGCAGAGAGAACAGACTTCAACTTGGGTGGCTGGAGTATTTTAAAAATTTTAGGGCCTTCCTCTGACACCGCCTGGTATAGAGGTCATGGATGACAGTGATGTACTGGGCCATGCGCACTACCCTCTGTTGTCGAGCAGTTGCCATACCAAGTGGTGATGCAGCCAGTCAAGATGCTCAATGGTGCAGCTGTATAACATTTTGAGGATCTAAGGGCCCATGCCAAATCTTTTTTGCCTCCTGAGGGGGAAGAGGCTTTGTCGTGCCCTCTTCACGACTGTGTTGGTGTGTTTGACCATTATAGGTCCTTAGTGATATGGACACCAAGGAACTTGAAGCTCTCGACCTTCTCCACTACAGCCCCGTCGATGTGAATGGGGGCGTGCTCGGCCCTCCATTTCCTGCAGTCCACGATCCACTCCTTTTGTCTTGCTGATGTTGAGGGAGAGGTTGTTGTCCTTGCACCACATTGCCAGGTCTCTGACCTCCTCCCTGTAGGCTGTCTCATCGTCGTCGGTGATCAGGCCTACCACCGTCGTGTCGTCATTAGGCACCAGTGTGCGGCCATGCAGTCGTGGGTGAACAGGGAGTACAGAAGGGGGCTAAGCACGCACCCCTTAGGGGTCCCCGTGTTGAGGGTCAGCGTGGCGGATGTGTTGTTGCCTACCCTCACCAGCTGGGGGCAGCCCGTCAAAGTCCAGTATCCAATTGCAGAGGGAGGTGTTTAATCCCAGGGTCCTTAGCTTAGTGATGCGCTTGGAGGGCACTATGGTGTTGAACGCTGACCTGTAGTCAATGAACAGCCTTCTCACATACAGTAGGTGTTCCTTTTGTCCAGGTGGGAAAGAGCAGTGTGGAGTGCAATAGAGATTGCGTCATCTGTGGATCTGTTGGGGCGTTATGCGAATTGGAGTGGGTCCAGGGAGTCTGGGATGATGGTGTTGATGTGAGCCATGACCAGCCTTTCAAAGCATTTTATGGCTACAGATGTGAGTGCTACGGGGCGATAGTCATTTAGACATTTTACCTTGGCCTTCTTGGGCACAGGGACTATGGTGGTCTGCTTGAAACGTGGGTATTACAGACTGGGTCAGGGAGATGTTGAAAATATCAGTGAAGACACTTGCCAGCTGGTCAGAGCATGCTCTGAGTACGCGTCTTGGTAATCCGTCTGGCCCTTTGGCCTTGTGAATGTTAACCTGTTTAAAAGTCTTACTCACATCAGCTACGGAGAGCGTTATCTCTTCACTTCAACTGGTTCATGGGGCACATTTACAATGCTATTCTGCATCTGAGGTGCATGTGATGCTGGGAGGGTTATTGACTGAAGGAACAAGTGTCTAAAGTATTAGTAAGCAACAATATGGAGGCAAAAATAGAGAATGATTCAGAAGGCACTCAGGAAAGGCTCCATGCCAGTTGGTAATCAATGTGGGGGTGGCTCTTGGCAAATGTAACCGCCATTAAGTTATATTTAATTTTGTGCCAAACGCCCTCAAAAGCAAAGACGGGGGTGCGGTTCAGGACTTCTGGTTTAGAGTTGTCAAGACCCACCCCCTCCTGAATTAGAGCCCCAGCAGCACTTTTGACTGGAAAATACAATTTTTCCTTTAACCAGCCTTTATTTCTGCAAAGCTAAGTAGATCTGAAACCATCTCTTCTACAAATACTATAGTTAAAAGTACATACACACATTGTCATTTGCATGTTCTGCTTTGCTTTATCTTGGCCAGGTCGCAGTTGTAAATGAGAACATGTTCTCAACTGGTTTACCTGGTTAAATAAAGGTGAAATAAAAATAAAATAAATAACCATGGTTATGTCGTTAGAACCGAAAATATGCAAGTGCAGAAATTGAATTGCTATGCCTCATACAGCACTGTTTGTCTTGCTGTCAAAACACTGTTGCTTTCCCTTGTCAGGAACTTTTAAGTGACACGAACAATACGCAAAGTATGACCGCTGCAAACTCACTCATTCTAGTTTTCACTCATTTTCACTCTCTCTTGTTGTAGAGTATGGGCGTCGTGTGAAAGAGAGGATGCACCACAACATCCCCCATCGCTTCACCGTGGGACTCAACATGAGGGCCACCAAGTGTGCTGTCTGCCTGGACACCGTGCACTTTGGACGCCAGGCCGCCACCTGCCTAGGTTAGTAGTCCTAATGGACTTACTGCCTTTCTTTCTCATTACTGCTACAATAGCACTGCTGTTGCGCTCATGAGCAATGTCCCAGACCACTGCATTATGTTCATTACTGTATTTCAACTATTTCTTTAAATCAAACTTCCCTTGCTTGTGGTCATTATTTTGAATAAAAATGGTTTACAATTATACCTGACTCTCGTGTATATAGGTATGAAGATAACATTTATTGACAACACAACTTATAAGGAGCCTGAAAAGTACAGAGTACATGTTTTCAGCCAACATAACTCAAGATCAATCACTCCTCCACAATACATGTATTTCCTTCTCTCTCTTCCTGGTCTACTGTAGAGTGCCACACCCTGTGCCACCCCAAGTGCTCGCCCTGCCTCCCTGCCACATGCGGCCTGCCGGCGGAGTATGCTACCCACTTCTCAGAGGCGTTGTGTCGGGAGAAGGCCAACTCACCTGCCCTGCAGCTCAAAGAGGCCGCTGGCCACGTACGCCTGGAGGGCTGGATGAAACAACCCAGGTCTGTGTTCTCATAGTAAACCCTTTATTATGGACATTCTTCTGTTTACCTGCCTTACCTTGCTTTATGTTGGAAAGCGGTTTGAAATTGAACCGTCTTCTCCTCCTTTTCCTCTTTCTTGGGCATGAGCTCTGGGTAGGGCCCTTGACAGGGAAATGTAACACCTCTGAATGTTCTGTTTCATAATGTAAGGTGTGTGTCTCTGCAGGAACTCCAAGCGAGGCCAGCAGGGCTGGGAGAGGAAGTACGTGGTGCTGGACGGGACCAAAGTGTCCATCTACGACACTGAACCCAGAGAAGGTACTGCTCCTTGACTTGACTCTCCTTTAGCTTTTTCTTTTTCTTTCACCAGACTGTTTTGGCAGTGTTTCCATGAACCTTGGCCTCCTGGATCATATTCATTAGGCAACAGTCTGAAACAGGGAGAGTTCTACCTGGACTTGTAGCTGGCCTGGTAGCATTGCAAAACGTTTTGCTACCGTGTGCCCTAATAAATATATACCTGGTGTCTTTCCAGACTCTCTGAAGCCAGAGGAGGAGTTTGAGCTGTGTCTTCCTGATGGAGAGGTGACCATCCACGGAGCAGTGGGAGCCTCGGAGCTCATCAACACGGCCAAGTCAGGTACAACACACCTGTCCAATGCCCTTATAGATACTACACAGGTAGATTAGAGTCCACCGGTGCTTGACTTGGACTGAAATAAGTGCCGGTCCTCATTTTGAGTGCTGGTACTGTTTATACACTGCTCAAAGAAATAAAGGGAACACTAAAATATCACATCCTAGATCTGAATGAATGAAATAATCTTATTAAATACTTTTTTCTTTACATAGTTGAATGTGCTGACAACAAAATCACACAAAAATTATCAAAGGAAATCAAATGTATCAACCCATGGAGGTCTGGATTTGGAGTCACCCTCAAAATTAAAGTGGAAAACCACACTACAGGCTGATCCAACTTTGATGTAATGTCCTTAAAACAAGTCAAAATGAGGCTCAGTAGTGTGTGTGGCCTCCACGTGCCTGTATGACCTCCCTACAACGCCTGGGCATGCTCCTGATGAGGTGGCGGATGGTCTCCTGAGGGATATCCTCCCAGACCTGGACTAAAGCATCCGCCAACTCCTGGACAGTCTGTGGTGCAACGTGGCGTTGGTGGATGGAGCGAGACAATATGTCCCAGATGTGCTCAATTGGATTCAGGTCTGGGGAACGGGCGGGCCAGTCCATAGCCTTCCTCTTGCAGGAACTGCTGACACACTCCAGCCACATGAGGTCTAGCATTGTCTTGCATTAGGAGGAACCCAGGGCCAACCGCACCAGCATATGGTCTCACAAGGGGTCTGAGGATCTCATCTCGGTACCTAATGGCAGTCAGGCTACCTCTGGCGAGCACATGGAGGGCTGTGCGGCCCCCCAAAGAAATGCCACCCCACACCATGACTGACCCACCGCCAAACCGGTCATGCTGGAGGATGTTGCAGGCAGCAGAACATCACATGTGCTCAGTGTGAACCTGCTTTCATCTGTGAAGAGCACAGGGCGCCAGTGGCGAATTTGCCAATCTTGGTGTTCTCTGGCAAATGCCAAACGTCCTTCACGGTGTTGGGCTGTAAGCACAACCCCCACCTGTGGACGTCGGGCCCTCATTACACCCTCATGGAGTCTGTTTCTGACCGTTTGAGCAGACACATGCACATTTGTGGCCTGCTGGAGGTCATTTTGCAGGGCTCTGGCAGTGCTCCTCCTGCTCCTCCTTGCACAAAGGCGGAGGTAGCAGTCCTGCTGCTGGGTTGTTGCCCTCCTACGGCCTCCTCCACGTCTCCTGATGTACTGGCCTGTCTTCTGGTAGCGCCTCCATGCTCTGGACGCTACGCTGACAGACACAGCAAACCTTCTTGCCACAGCTCGCATTGATGTGCCATCCTGGATGAGCTGCACTACCTGAGCCACTTGTGTGGGTTGTAGACTCCGTCTCATGCTACCACTAGAGTGAAAGCACCGCCAGCATTCAAAAGTGACCAACACATCAGCCAGGAAGCATAGGAACTGAGAAGTGGTCTGTGGTCACCACCTGCAAAACCAGTCCTTTATTGGGGGTGTCTTGCTAATTGCCTATAATTTCCACCTGTTGTCTATTCCATTTGCACAACAGCATGTGAAATTTATTGTAAATCAGTGTTGCTTCCTAAGTGGACAGTTTGATTTCACAGAAGTGTGATTGACTTGGAGTTACATTGTGTTGTTTAAGTGTTCCCTTAATTTTTTTGAGCAGTGTATTTAGGTGCAGGAGGCCACAATACTTTTGAGCTAATATTCTATAAGAGGAACAGGAGCTCAAGCAGTAGAACATTTTAGGTGCCGGTACTCCGCTCTGGTGAGCTCCTGCCCAAGTCAAGCACTGGGGCCCACCTGTCTAATGCACTTATTCACTTGGAGATTAGAGTAGACCTTCTATTTCCCAGAAAACTCTCCCATTTGGAACACACCAAGATAATGAACACCTGACCTCTCCCTACATCCTAACTTGTGTAAAACTACCTAAACTGATCCTATTTGATGCCTCTTTACTGGAGTAATTGCACAGTCGTCAAGTAGCTAAACTGCTGAGCATGCCACTGTTGTGTTTGTATTTGAATGTGCTCTATAGTCTCTGTCCCTTCACTCTCTTATCTTGCTTGTGTCTGTGTGCAGACATCCCGTACATCCTGAAGCTGGAGTCTCACCCCCACACCACCTGTTGGCCCGGCCAGTCCCTGTATTTCATGGCTCCCAGCTTCCCAGACAAGCAGCGCTGGGTGGCTGTCCTGGAGTCAGTCGTAGCCGGCAGCAGGGGCTCCAAGGACAAGGTGGAGGCTGACGCGGTGAGTGGACGCGCTTGTGTGCATATGTCGAAAGCCATCTTCAATCTCTAGTCGGTTGATATTTGAAGTGTTGTTACTTTCAAGGTCGGCACCGGAGTTCTCCTACTAGTTCATTACAGTTTATAGCTGAAACACACACTCAAACATGAGAGAGCAAGACTTGCTTGGTGTTTGCTGAGAGAGTAGGGTGTATTCCCACTCAATAGTCTCTCTTTCTCTCTTCCCCCCCGTTCCCTCTCTCTTTGTCTGCATGTTGTCCCTCTACCGTCTGTGTTTGTGGATGTTGTCAATGATTTTATGTGTGAATACATATTTTACACATATTTTACACTGTATGTGTAAAATTCACTGGGGTGTTGTTGACCACACTGTAGACAGCTGTTCCTAAAAGACAGAAGAATCTCTCCCCACTGGTCCAGGTAAAGAGCTGCACGAGCCTGCCTTATGCTTGGGCCCAAGCGTATATGCTTTGATTGACAGAGCATGCAGTACACACACTTACTGTATACATACCAATGCACACAAACAAATCAACATCTTTAATCACACATACAGTGCAAGCACACACTCTCTCGCCCTGAAAAACAGCCACATACCCACACATGCAGCACCCATGAAGCTCATGTATGTGAGATAACCCTGCTGTGCAGCTTTGTCCCCTGGCGTCATGCATGCACTTCCAGAGTCATATACGTCACACACGCCCATGCACCCCTGCAATACAATTGATAGATTGATTGATCGATCAATTGGTTTGTCTGGTGTACCATTTTGATTTTGTTCTTTTGATATCTTCCTCTTTTTCTTTTCTTGTGTGTAAAGCACTTTGAAATGTTGTATGGAAATTGGAAAGTACTACATAAGTAAAATCATTATTATTATTATTATTATTGCAAACCCACCCCCAATTGCCCATAGCCATGCCCATTTTGTCACCTGCTTCACCCCTGGCAACTACTTGCCTCTGTCACATCCACTGTGTACTGTAGGCTATATGACCCTCACAACTTCCTGCATTGACATTAGCAGATACTGGGGGCTTTGTCTTAGTAAAATGCTAGGTTAGGTTTACACGTTACGATTCCTAACCTGGCCTGTGTTCCTCTCCCTCTCTGACAGAAACTGTTGGGTAACTCTCTGCTGAAGCTGGAAGGAGACGACCGACTGGACATTAACTGTACCCTGCCCCTCACCGACCAAGTACGTGTGCGAGTGTTAGTGCACGTTTAATGCAGGATTATGCTTCACTATACATACAGAACCAGGAAACTTACCCAGGGAACTGGGTAAGCAATTGTTTAATGATTTTAAATGTTACCTAAAGTTTCACATTGGCTTTCTCTCTCCCCCTCCATAGATAGTGTTGGTTGGCTCTGAGGAGGGCCTGTATGCCCTGAACGTCATTAAGAACAGCCTGACTCACATCCCCGGCCTGGCCTCTGTCTTCCAGATCCAGATTCTCAAGGAGCATGACAAGCTGCTCATAATTACCGGTCAGTATTGGGGACAAACTCTGCCTACTATTATAGGCTTTAGCTTAGTGAGCTACCGGCAACATGGTCTTGAGGCTCGCAGGTGACCCATTTCCAAAACCCGGTATATCCGAGTATCAAACCTGGCTTGCCTGCGGGCCTACAGACTTGTGTTAGCTCCCCGAGCTAAAGCCTGATAGAAGGCATGGGCTCTGGGAGCTAAAATGTGTCTTCAGGTCTAAGAATTTGTTCTTAGCTGGCTCGCCTGCTTAAATAAAGCTTAAATAAACAGGCAAGTTACTCAGCACTTGAGTGTAGTTCACTGAACCATCTCTGCTACACTACAGCCATCTTGCAGTTTAGCAGTACTGAGATTATGAATCGTGTTAATATAGTGCAATAACTGTTGAAACTGATCACAAATGTGTTATATGGGATGGAGGATGCAGTTGGTACTGTATGTGTTTGTTGCTGATGTCTGTACCATGTCTGGTCCAGGAGAGGAGCGGGCCCTGTGTCTGGTGGAGATCAAGAAGGTGAAGCAGTCTCTGTCTCAGTCCCATCTCCCGGCCCAGCCAGATCTCAGCCCATACATCTTTGAGACCGTCAAGGGATGCCACCTCTTCTCCTCTGGCAAGGTGAGCCACAATGTTTTCTGGTATAAAACTTTGTTTCAATCATAGCAAATGATTCACGCACCTTTTGATGATGCATTATGTTGTCGGTTACATTCCTTGAAACTGTGGACTGATTACGCCATATTTCTGGAGTGATTGTTGTCCTGACTGTTTTGTTTTTGTCCCTTGTGCAGATTGAGAATGCCACGTGTATCTGTGCCGCCATGCCCAACAAGATCACCATCCTGCGCTACAACGACAGCCTCAAGAAATTCTGCATCAAGAAAGAGATTGAGACGTCAGAGCCCTGCAGCTGTATCCACTTCACAGGCTACAGCATCATCATCGGCACCAACAAGTTCTACGAGATTGAGATGAAGCAGTATGTGCTGGAAGGTAGGTCAGCAACTCATCACACAGGATACAACATGATCAAGGTACACTGTTATCTCGGGATAACTAGGGTCATCATTAGGCACCGAACGGACTGAAACAGGGAGGGACTTGTCTAGTAAGAAAAGGTTATTTTATCTTTGTATAGTTGGTTGATTGATTGGTGTGAGGACCTCTCTCTTGCAGAGTTCCTGGATAAGAACGATGTGACGTTGGCCTCGGCCATCTTTGCGGCCTCCTCCCACAGTTTCCCCATCTCCATCATCCAGGTCACCCAGGCACCGCAGAAAGACGAGTACCTGCTCTGCTTCCACGGTCAGACATGTTTCATACACACTTCTATAGGCCGTGTGTGTGTCTGCCTTTCCGTTACGAAAATGTGGCGCCGGATATTTGACGGGCAGCATATTAATTCATTTGAGAAATGTACCGGACCCATATGCATTGGGTGCGTAACCTGCTTAAGGCATCCACCCACGGTAATCAGAATGACAGAAATCACGTTTAGATTATGGTAATTCATTTTAACAGAACACAACTCGAGGATGCAACGGTGTCCTTCTTACCTAATTCTGATGTGCACTTTGAAGATGTTCGAATAACTGTCCACATTTCCTCAGCCAACAAGACGAGTAACGAACAGCAAAAGCACTAGCCTATGTCAATCTACTATCCCCCATAGTAGAAAAGTTGACCTATTCTATTGGTCGGCTTGTCGTTCTGTGTGAGAAATCTAGCTATAGCCTATTCAGAAACACTCTGGGACAGTTGTGGGACGATAGATCCCAAAATTCATCCAACCAGTAGGCCTAGACTCTATAAAACAACTACTGAAAAAGCAAAGAGGCTGATCCAACTGATCAGAATGTTTAGTGTAAAATGTTGATGAACTATTATTACTTCACATTATAAACGTACCAATGTGCACAAGGCAGTAGACTATGTACAAATGTTTGTTCTATAATGAAATTAGCGGGAAAACACTGTCAAAAGTGCACTGCACATGCCAGCGGTTTCATGTGATAGATATTAAAATATCCGTTAGCAATTTAGAAAGAGTGGAGATCTAAAAATGCAAAAACTAGTATGGGTTGCTAAAATGACTAGGATTGTGCCTTTGGCTACTAGACAATGAAAGAAAGTTGATTTGAAAACCAATACAACATGAGAGAAATAGGCTACTGGTTTCAATGGAATATGGAAGTCTTTATAAAATAATTGCCTCCACGTTTTATGGTGGGATTTTGGCTAGGCTACTTTGAAGCAAGGTAAGACATGCCTCATAATATGAAGTAAAACGTTCAGGTTTAAAAAAAATTAAGTATGTTTTCAAATGCATACTGCCTCCAGCTCATTGCAAAGTGGTGTGTGATGTGCGGAAGCCTCCTATGCACTTGAATGGCGAATGGGAAGCGCGCTTCAATTACCGGTTGAGAAAAAAAAAAAATAGTAGCTGTTTTTAATTGTGGCCATCAAAACTGTTTTTAACACGCGATTGCATTCAGAATTGTTGTGCAATGATTGGGTTTACACTATAAAAGCAGCATAATTACATAATTCACTCCAGAGGCAAATGAACTAGCTGTTTGAGGAGCTGTAGCAGCAGCTCTCCTGCTGTCTGACAGATCTTCCGCTCAAGCTAGGCTCTGTATCTGTATGCTATGCGTGTGTGATAATATACATAAAGACTAACGAAAACACACGCTAATTTAATTCCACTATATTATGCAAATTAACCGATAAGCATGTCCGGTCAAATGTATTTCGATCGACTGGTATTTCCAACAATGAATAGGCGAAAAAGCATTATTTTGCAATGAGATTGTTTTTGTTCTTGGACAATTTGCCAGCGTCCCCAAAAAATGAGCGGCCAAAATCCGGTTATTACCGGCTAACGGAAACCCTGGTGCGTGTGCATGAGAGATGGTGTGTGTGAGAGAGGGAGAGTGCCTATGCTGTCTTTATGATTATGGAATGACTGAGTAGTGTAGCCATGCTGTGATGATTGTTAGAAATGTCCATGATATTAATTTCCACCTAGTTTGCAATGCATACCAGCATTATCACTTATTTCTATTGTGATGATTCCCTCTCCAGAGTTTGGGGTGTTTGTGGACGCATACGGCCGCAGGAGTCGAAGTGAGGACATCAAATGGAGCCGTCTGCCTCTCTCATTTTGTAAGTCAAAATCATTTTACATCTGAAACTATCATCTCAGAGTGATCCTAACAAAAGGATTGAAGAATTGCCATCTAGAAAAGTGTCATAATAAGACATAAGGGGTTTATAATATAGTGCTCCTCTCCATTTCAGCCTACAGAGAACCCTACCTGTTTGTGACCTATTTCAACTCGTTGGATGTGATCGAGGTCCAGGGCCACTCTGCTCTAGGGTAAGACCACCTCAATGATCTTTTACTTAACTGCAACCCTGAGCTAGGTAGCATAACATTGTAAGAAATCAATGGGGGTATTGTGTCTTGGTCAGGGCCCACTCGTACGCTCACCTGGACATCCCCAACCCGCGCTACCTGGGCCCAGCCATCTCCTCCGGAGCCATTTACCTGGCATCGTCCTACCAGAACAAGCTCCGTGTCATCTGCTGTAAGGGCAACCTGGGACAGGAGGGGGAGCTGCAGAGGAATGGCTCTGGACGCAGGTACGTTAATATGGATCTTTTTTTTTCTCTCTCTTTCTTTCGTTCAGTGTCTCACTTATTCTCTCTCTTTCTCATTCATTCGACTTGGGTATGCATGGATAGAGGTACATGATGTATCTCTGTGTATGCATGTCCATCAAGTTTTTTTTTTTTGTGGTGGTACAATGGAATTCTGGGATTTGGAGCAACAATGGGGATTCTTCATTCTGTCACTGCACCTTCTGTTGGCTGAGCTGGTTAGTAGAGGCAGGATTGGGCCGGTCATGGTTACAGTATGACTTCAGAATTACTTCCCTTCTCTCTGATTTCGCCCATTGTTTAAATTCCACCAGGAATCACTGAAGTGCACGGTGATGGTGTGGAGCTTTTCACAGGTGGCACACTTGCAGCATGAGTTGACATACAGGTGACATAGAGTGGCAGGTAGGCATACAGGTGGCATAGGTTGGCATACCGTTGACATAGGTTGGCATACAGTTGACATAGGTTGGCATACAGTTGATATAGGTTAGCATACATAACTGGTGATCTATCTGGTGATGGTGTTCTTCCATCTGATACACCATGCATCTCTGAGACCTGGATTAATGCTAGCGTCTATTCTTTGCAGGAGGAAGATTTCATTTTTTATTTGTAACAAAGCCTAAGTAAGGCAATTTTTATTCAAAATGGCTCCTGTGTGGTGTTATAATACAATATATGAAATAAAGTATGGTTACTTCTTGTATTTTCTGGGACTTCCTATATCAACCAATCAAGCACCTGCATTAATGTACATAATAATGCAGTGACTGTGTGTTTAGAGTTAGCTGATTTGACCATCCTGCCATATAGTGCTTTTGATGTTAGCTATGGGTTTCATGATGTTTAAAGAACAGTAGAGAGGGTTCATTGCTATTTTTCCTCATCTTCATCAAAAATACTGTACAAAGACAGAATTTGAAAAAGCCATCCAAAATGTCATTTGTCAACCCTCATTCAGCCGTTATCCATACATCGAAAAGTGTTGTACTCTCTCTGTGTAATTTAGGGCTGAGAAATGGGTGTTGATTATAACGCTAAATAAAGTGTAGGTGTGCCACCTCTGTGCACATCATGGATGTTTGTTTGTTCAAGTGCTAGGAAAAAGACCAGCTACAATTCTCATATAATTGATTCCATAATCCTCTGTACTATAGAATTGGAAATTTGACTTCTGGAGGTAACATGGTGACGATATGACGAAATGTCTTTAGCTCTCCTATCCATCGGTGGAAACAAATGTGCAGTCAACCATATCTCATTTTTCTCCGTTGTCTCCTGTGACAGAATGTGGCTAACACATTACCTGTCTGCATTATCTATAGGGATTTTAATGAGAATTGCTTTCTCCATATCCAAAGCCATTGCTTGCTGCAGTCATGATTTTATTTTACATAGCTATTGAGAGGATTACAGTAGCCATAGTTATGATTGACATTAGCTTAATATGCATTTACACTGACATTAAGAACACCTGCTCTTTCCATGACCTAGACTGACTAGGTGAATCCAGGTGAAAGCTATGATCCCTTATTGATGTCTGTGTAGATGAAGGGGAGGAGACAAGTTAAAGAAGGATTTTAAGCCTTGAGACAATTGAGACATGGAATGTGTATGTGTGCCATTCAGAGGGTGAATGGGCAAGACAAAATACTGAAGTGCCTTTGAATGGGGTATGGTAGTAGGTGCCAGGCGCAACAGTTTCCCATGTGTATCAAGAATGGTCCACCACCCAAAGGACATCCAGCCAACTTGACACAACTGTGGGAAGCATTGGAGTCAACATGGGCCAGCATCCCTGTGGAATGCTTTCGACACCTTGTAGAGTCCATGCCCCGACGAATTGAGGCTGTTCTGAGGGCAAAAGAGGGGGGGTGGTGCAACTCAATATTAGGAAGGTCTTCCTTATGTTTGGTATATTCAGTGTATATTTAATTGACCACTTTTTTACCAAGATCACTTCTTCAAGCTGGATGCATAAGTTGCTTTTCCATGGTTCTTGTTCATACATATACTTCCCCTCCCATGACCCCAGCAGTACACTATGCAATGCTTTCTTGACACCATCTCTGATGGTCTAACAAAATGTTGACCCTGTGATCTTTGTCATGTGGTCCCCTGCCCTCTCCATCTCAACAATGGGCCTCTCCACCCCCTCTCCGTCCGCAGCCCCAACAAGCGTGGGCCGCCCTCCTACAACGAGCACATCACCAAGCGCCTGGCGGCCAGCCCCGCGTTGCACAGTGACCCGGGCACACCGCGCCACTACCGTGAGGCCCGCACCGAGTTCCGCCGCGATAAGTCGCCCGGCCGTCCGCCACACTCGGTGGAGAGGGAGAAGTCTCCCAGTGGCAGGATGATGATGGACCCCCGTCTGGCCAGGTCTCCAGGAAGGGCCATGGGGGGGGACTCACGCCTCGACCGCTCCCCAGGGAAGCTGATGGACCGGGACGTGAGGAGGGAGAGGTCGCCCAGCCGGGGGTTCGAGGAGCAGCAACCTGGAGTTCGTCAGAGACTCCATACCAGCTCCGGTCGCACGCCCCTCACCACGGTCAACAAGGTGAGAAAGTAGACTATATACAGAATGCTTCCCAAATGGCCCCAGAGCCCTATGTACTTCCCTTGCCCGCATTACAGGACATAACATGAGTGGTATTGGGTGACTTGTGAACACTTCCCTATTTAGTGCAGTACTTTTGATCAAAGCCCTATGGTCCCATGCTCTGTCTTTTTTAATATGGCGTCATTTTGATAGTTTCTATGGATATGCTGATTTACTTAAAATGTATTTTTTAATAAGACTTTCCTATTCCAGTGATAAATCTACTCTGCTGATGGAGCCTTAATGATATTGTTACAAAACCAATAACTAGTCAACGGATATTGTTACACTCGTTATGTCTAGGGGTCTTAGGCCTATTTAACTGGTCTGGAACCTGAATGTAATCAGCGTATGCGCCTAGTTGTTGAATGTACAGCTCTGTCTCTCTCGACCTCTTAGTCGGCCAGGCCAAGCGGATTATTATTTGTTCCGATGGTGACGAAACATAAATATGCAAACAGGCATGCCCAAACAAGATTCAAAACCAAACGAATGGCCTCATTGCCACCAAACCAACCAGCAGCCTCACGGCTCTCCAAGCTGGCACTCTGTCTGATCACCTTAATTGGCAGCACCTGATGTGCTTATCAGCCAAGCTCAGCACCTGGACAAGATTGCTGCTGCCCCCTGAGGGAATGGAGTGTGGAAGTGTATCCTGGATAGTGTGTTTTCCTATGTCCTAACACTAACGTTCACATTATATCATAACAATATCAAGTAATTTAAGTTCCTCTGCCTAACTTCTGTGTTGGTGCCCTATCACTTGACCCTATTTGTCTCTGATCTTTCTGTACAGGTGTGGGATCAGTCATCTGTTTGAGTGACAGCAGTGCTACATCAATCAGAAGAGTGACATCCCCAGCACAGCACATCACATGACTCAATTCTTAGCAGGGTTAGGGAAGAGGAGCGGGGTCATAATACTGCATCACCTAGAGAGCCCAATAGGAAAAGCAGCTAAAGCATTGAAGACTCACTGTCAGTGCTGAATGTCATGTCTATGGGTTTTTACTATAATAAATAATGGTTAATACAATGTTGATATACAGTAACAAATAAAAAATGTGATCTAACATTTGAAGTCGGCAAGGACCAAAACACAACATTTATGTCACAGACACTGACAAAAACACTTGGAATATCTGCTAAATTAAATCCTGGAAACAGCACTTACAGATGAGGCTCAGAGTTTAGAAACACAACTAAACGTTCTCCTGGATTTTCTCTCACCCTGTGCATATCAGCTAGATCAGTGGTGGGCATCTCCTAGGGACGCAGTGTGTGCAGGCTTTTGTTACAGCCCAGCACATACACACCTCATTCAAATAATCAACTAATCCTAGTCTTTGATTTAGATCAAGTATATTTAGGTGTGTTTGTTAGAGATGATATGGAATAAAGTCTACACACACAGCGGCCCTCTAGTATTGGTCCATCCCTGAGCTAGATGACTACAGCTGACACACTAAAACTGCGCTACCCACAATCCCCAGCACCAGCTGTCTCTCGAAACAGGACCTTTATAAATCATCATAATGCTATTTGACACTGTAAATAGGCAGACTTAGGTTTCGTCCGAAATGGCACCCTACTCCATATATAGTGCAATACTTTTGGCCAGAGCCCATAGGGCTCTGGTCAAAAGTAGTACACTTTATAAAGATTAGGGCGCCATTTCAGACCAAGCCTCACTTTTTATAGATATTGAAAGGGAACCTCAAGGCTGGAAAAGCCACGTCTATTTTTGTTAAAGAGAAAAGTGATTGTTATGTGTCCTCTTGAATGTCAAATGAATATTATTCTTTTAAAAACATCCTTTATCAAGTGAGCCTTTTGCCTTGGTCCCATCTTGTGTAATGCACTTCCACACGCAAAAACAAACTTACATGCGGCTTGAGAAATCATTAAGCTTACAGCACACTACTTGAATATTCCTTTTTACCACAATCTCACCTTACCTTGTATATACCCTCCAAATTGTTGTTTATGATCAATTGAAGAAGAAAATAATGTACTTTGATTAACTGATTCTTAAGGCATGGATGTACTAAAATGAGAATGGAAAATAAATATCCTATGATCTTCAACATCACTTTCATTTCAGTGAACTACATGCGATTCGACACTGGAGCATGAGCGATAAAGAAAAAAGTAATTTATAGCTACATGTTTTAGTTTGCCTTCAATTTCCATTTTCTTTCAAATCCTCCTGAACTATTATGGGCGACATTTTCCTACTGCTAAACACCTCTCGCAGCAAGAACAAATATGGTATTTTCAGTCACATAAGCTTACTCTTTATACTTTAATATAGCTACTTACAGTTGAAGTCGGAAGTTTACATACACTTAGGTTGGAGTCATTAAAACTTGTTTTTCAACCACTCCACACATTTCTTGTTAACAGTTTTGGCAAGTCGGTTAGGACATCTACTTTGTGCATGACACAAGTACTTTTTCCAACAATTGTTTACAGACAGACTATTTAACTTATAATTCACTGTATCACAATTCCAGTGGGTCAGAAGTTTACATACACTAAGTTGACAGTGCCTTTAAACAGCTTGGAAAATTCCAGAAAATGATGTCATGGCTTTAGAAGCTTCTGATAGGCTAATTGACATAATTTGAGTCAATTGGAGGTGTACCTGTGGATGTATTTCAAGGCCTACCTTCAGACTCAGTGCCTCTTTGCTTGACATCATGGGAAAATCAAAAGAAATCAGCCAAGACCTCAGAAGAAAAATTGTCTGGTTCATCCTTGGGAGCAATTTCCAAACGCCTGAAGGTACCACGTTCATCTGTACAAACAATAGTACGCAAGTATAAACACCATGGGACCACACAGCCGTCATACCGCTCAGGAAGGAGACGCGTTCTGTCTCCTAGAGATGAACGTACTTCGTTGCGAAAAGTGCAAATCAATCCCAGAACAACAGCAAAGGACCTTGTGAAGATGCTGGAGGAAACAGGTACAAAAGTATCTATATCCACAGTAAAACGCGTCCTATATCGACATAACCTGAAAGGCCGCTCAGCAAGGAAGAAGCCACTGCTCCAAAACCGCCATAAAAAAAAAAGCCAGACTACGGTTTGCAACTGCACATTGGGACAAAGATCGTACTTTTTGGAGAAATGTCCTCTGGTCCGATGAAACAAAAATAGAACTCTTTGGCCATAATGACCATTGTTATGTTTGGAGGAAAAAGGGGGTATCTTGCAAGCCGAAGAACACCATCCCAACCGTGAAGCACGGGGGTGGCAGCACATGCTGTGGGGGTGCTTTGCTGCAGGAGTGACTGGTGCACTTCACAAAATAGATGGCATCATGAGGAAGGAAAATTATGTGGATATATTGAAGCAACATCTCAAGACATCAGTCAGGAAGTTAAAGCTTGGTCGCAAATGGGTCTTCCAAATGGACAATGACCCCAAGCATACTTCCAAAGTTGTGCCAAAATGGCTTAAGGACAACAAAGTAAAGGTATTGGAGTGGCCATCACAAAGCCCTGACCTCAATCCTATTGAACATTTGTGGGCAGAACTGAAAAAGCGTGTGCGAGCAAGGAGGCCTACAAACCTGACTCAGTTACACCAGCTCTGTCAGGAGGAATGGGCCAAAATTCACCCAACTTATTGTGGGAAGCTTGTGGAAGGCTACCCGAAACATTTGACCCAAGAAACAATTTAAAGGCAATGCTACCAAATACTAATTGAGTGTATGTAAACTTCTGACCCACTGGGAATATGATGAAAGAAATAAAAGCTTAAATAAATCATTCTCTCTACTATTATTCTGACATTTCACATTCTTAAAATAAAGTGGTGATCCTAACTGACCTAAGACAGGGAATTTTTACTAGGATTAAATGTCAGGAATTGTGAAAAAACTGTTTAAATGTATTTGGCTAAGGTGTATGTAAACTTCCGACTTCAACTGTTCTTTTGATTTACTTTTTCTTTATATTTATATTCAACCAAATTCAGTGTAGCACTGAAAGGTCACGTAGCAAATGCTTCTGGAACAGGTTGGCCTACATGTGCAGTAAGAAACCTTTTGCTCACTTCCTCTATATACAGAAGCACACATTTTTCGTTTTACTCAGCACCTGGGTGGGAGTGTACAGGGTTGTAAATCATATTTAATTTCATACTTGCCTATCAATTTACCATCTGCTATTAAAGACAAGGAACATGTCGCCCTGTGCTCGATATGAAGATATTGATGTCTTACAAATGCTAACAAAAGATGTACTAGCTTTCCCTGTAGAGTTTTGTCACACAATATTAAACATAACCACTGTCTTTAATTGCTGGCGTATATCCTGTGTGGCCTATGTGGAATCGTGCGAGAGAGAGATTGTGCGAGAGAGGGAGAAAGAGAGATTTTGTGTGTGTGTGGGTTGTTCATGTCCAGTGTGTTAGGGTAACAATGCACGTTTGGTATTTATAGCAGTCTGATGAATACACTAGCCTGCTTATTCACTAGCTGCCCCAGCCCCACGGTGACAATGCCATCCCATTCTAGAGCCACTGGCATGCAGAGCAGCAGCGGCTATTTGTGTCTTAAACTGGGAATAACTGAGGAGAAAGACAGCTGCCTGCCTGCCTGGCCAGGAACAATTGTTCATCTGAGAGGCGTGGGTGAGTGGCAAACAAACTTGAAATGTAATCGTCATACATGTTGCTTTAAAGTTTAGATGTAGACAGCTGTAATGTGTTTTTTGCATATCCCACTCCCCCTGAGACACCCTCAGAGAATGGGGTCACAGCCAGGTGATCAGCCATTATCAACGGCGACCCTGGAGAAATTAGGGGTAAGTGCCTTGTCGGCTCGGGCATTTGACCCACCAACCTTTCGCTTACTGGCCCAATGCTTCTAACCGCCAGGCTACCTATGTGACTTTTAGACCTCAAATAAATAAGTTACTAGAGACTCCTTCCATGCTTTGAAGGGACAGAGATTATAGCAGAAGTGACATATGCCACTAAGACATTGACTAGTTGTTAAACTCCTGGCTGAAAGTGAGAAGGATGACAATGAGGTGAAGAAGGCTTTCAGCACGTCAGGACCATTATATAGATAAGCCCCACACCCAGAAATTGTTGGGAGATTCTCCCCCTGCCCTGGCCATAACGCCATATTCACTGATTGGCACTTTAGCACTTTCCCTTTCCAGCATGACAGGACCTGACAGGAGTGGTATTGGGTGACTTGTGAACTCTAATTTACACATTGTAAGGCGCTGTTCTCTGTCTCAACAGGGTCACACTTAAGTATGTGGAACCTAGCTAATGTTGCGCTGCTGAGTTTGGAACGTGGAACTCTGGGTGCAAATTATTTTGAATAGCTTCCTTTCCTGGTCTCCTCTCGTTAAAGGGTTTGTTCACAGAAAATGCTAATTGATATGATTTTCCAACTACCTTAGCTGCTGTTTTTTAAATGTGTAAAATACACACATCTATGATACAAAGTTGCATGCTCTAAAACAGAAAGACTACAGAGCTGCACAGGTGGTGTTCTGGTGTGCAGGTAGAGATTTATGTGAGGAGAGAGTTAACTAGCGATGACCGCTTGAGTAAAGTGTGGGCCCTGTAAATGGGTGATATGTATAGAAGCATGTGAGAGATGTGACTGGGCTTGCTCCACCATTAACCCAGCGTGCCAGACACACTCCTCTGACAGCAGCAAGGCAATAAATAATGGCTTAATAAGCTAATATATGTCCACGTTCCCTTTCATCTTTAAAATTATTGTTTTATTGGCCTTAAACAAACACATATTAACATGTAATGACGGCATAAGCACACATCTAACAAATTGAAGAGCATAGAGGTAGTGGTAGTAGCCTACTAGAGGTAGATAGCCTAGTAGCTGCCAAAAACCTTTTTCACAGAGCCGAATCCAGCCGAGCTGTACTGCACTGGCCTGGTTACTCATCTACCATGTTGCTGGAACGGTGATTGGAAGGACAATGTGGGAAAAATATCAGAACCATTACAGTACAGTTTGGGTCAGCATGATGGTGTGAAAAGGGTGTAGCCTGCTAGGTAATCGGGGCTATGCTTCCGCTAAAACCACAACCACTCAACAGCTAGCTCTTAGTCCCTCTAGTTTTGTCTAGAGTGCAAAGAACCTTGGCGTGACTCTGGACAACACCCTGTTGTTCTCTGCGAATATCAAAGCAGTGACTCGCTCCTGCATGTTCATGCTCTACAACATCCATAGATTACGACCCTACCTCACAGAGGAAGCGGCGCAGGTCCTAATCCAGGCACCTGTCATCTCCCGTCTGGACTACTTCAACTGTCTGTTGGCTGGGCTCCCTGCTTGTGCCATCGAACCCCTGCAACTTATCCAGAACGCTGCAGCCGGCCTGGTGTTCAACCTTCCCAAGTTCTCCCATGTCACCCCGCTCGTCTGCACACTCCACTGGCTTCCAGTTCAAGCTCACATCCACTACAGGACCATGGTACTTGCCTATGGAGCAGCAAGAGGAACTGCCCCTCCCTACCTTCAGGCTATGGTCAAATCCTACACCTCAACCCGAGTACTCCGTTCTGCCACCTCTGGTCTCTTGGCCCTCCCACCCCTATGGGAAGGCAGCTCCCACTCAGCCCAGTCAAAGCTCTTCTCTGTTTTAGCACCTCAATGGTGGAACCAGCTTCCACCTGAAGCTAGGACAGCAGAGTCCCTGCCCATTTTCCCAAAACATCTGAAACCCTACCTTCAAATAGTATCTTAAATAATCCCACAGCACACCCTCCTCACCCCACCTCCCACCACCCAAAAAAACCTTTTGTGAACTAACACTCACACTTGACTTTTTCCCCCCTTACTAGCTCTGACTTTGCTGATAGCTACTTTATTGAAGAAAAATGTACTTACTATGACTGAGATATGTGGTTGTACCACCTAGCTATCTTAAGATGAATGCACTAACTGTAAGTCGCTCTGAATAAGAGCGTCTGTTAAATTACTAAAATGTCTACACACACACACAATTTGGGCTGTGGATTGAACGGGCATCACCTCTGCTTTGAGGTTGTGAGGCATCATCACTCACTCATATAGTCAGCAGATCTTTTAAAGCAGGGTAGGAGAGAGAGGGGAATATTCCATCCTCTCTCGGGCTAGGAAAGATAGATTGAGTGATGGGTTCCTTTAAAACCCCCTAGAGTCCATCAGTTTAAGCTAGAGATATCTGGTTATGTTTTGCATTGGATGCGTCTCAATCCACCGCATCCACCAATATCACACTTCTGTCAGACCATGAGACGGTGTTTGTCAGACCATGAGACGGTGTTTGTCAGACCATGAGACATCTTGAAAATCGGTCTTCTCATGAAACCATCTGTAGCGTCTGAACGGTTTGACCTAAAGGACAAATTCAATATTTTATCAAATTATTTTATTTTTATACCTAAAGGGGTCCTATTCCAATTCCACATGTCAGCTTAGACCTTTAAGAATTAACCTTCAGCATGCAAGGTCCAGTTATTCTAAACCACTGTTATTCCACTCTGAGAGCTGACAATGAACTTTGGGGTAGAGGGCAATCAAGATTATTCTCTGTGTGTGTGTGTGTGTGTGTGTGCGCCCCCCTGTGTGTGGGTTGTCATTTACCTGTCACTTCCTAAAGAAGGCATGGTTTATTTATATCGTCCAGTAGAATGGAGTGCATGTAGGCTACATAAGGCCAGACAAAGCACTCTCCATTGTTCAGTGGCATTTTGGGAGTCCCATTGTTCTGTTCATCACCCATCTCTTCCAGCTCCAGCTATGGTAAGTGCTTGTCCTGTTCTATGCCACTGTTTGATTTCACACTGTCAGCTATGTCAAGGGGGTGGTTGTAGAGGAAAGGGAATTATTAGTGTGACTCTCCGCTAAGTCCTTGGAGGAAGCAGATATACAGGTAGATAGATGTGTATTTAGATCGATTGATGATGGTAGCTTGGATGATGGTGATGACAGCTGTTAGAATCAATAAAGGAATTTGTTAGATTTTATATCTATGATTTTATATCTGTTCAGTATTTCCCGTATGTTTCCTTCATACATGTAAAGTATTTTAAGTTGGGCAGGATAACGCCTTAAATCATAGTATCTAGTTTAGTTAGTTCAAGGCATGGTCCTGGCAAAGACAGTTCTATCCCAAACGTAACATTTGTATTGTGTGGATACACTGGCGCTAGTATAAATCTGGCTAGATCTGCTCCTGGAAGACCACAGTATGTGGATGCTTTTGCTCCAGCCCACCATGTTTTATGGATATACCTCTCCTTTCCACCTCTCTCCAAAGGCACCCAAGAAGGCAAAGAAGAAGTCAGCAGACTCCAACTCCAATGTGTTTTCTATTTTTGAGCAGTCTCAGATCCAGGAGTTCAAGGAGGTAAGGATCTGTCTCTCCCCTTATTACCATGACGACAGTCCATCGATCCCACTGCACCTTTGTCTGTCTGGTTTGTTTGTCATCGTCCTAGTGCCCAACCCATTCTGCCTCTTCTGTTCAGCCTGAATCACACTATAGGACCCGAACTGTACTATGCTAGCTCAGACATTTTCTTTTCACATTGTCCTTTCAAGCACAGTTCCAGCAACTATGGTGAATGTTTAACCAGGCCACCTAGTACAGCTCGGCTTGGCTCGGTTTGGCCCTATAGTGTGAATCAGGCATCTCTGTAAGCCTGTAGGTTTACCTGTCCCTCTGTCCATCATCTTTCATGAGTTGTCCATTGTCCACCTGTCTCTCTACCCTTGCCATGAATTCCAGGCGTGTGGTATGAGCGGTGTTGCTCTTTAAATCACGGCCAGGCATTCAGGCCATGTCATCGGTGATTAGGCAGGGCTGGCGATAGAATGGGAAACATGCCCTGGCCTGGATGTCACTCTTAAACCCCAGGGAGTAACATAGTATAAATACAGTAACTAAGAATAAAGGCTTAGAAAAATGGAATGTCCAGAGATCCATGTTCCAAAGAGCATCGATGGGATCATTTTGACAAAGATTTATAGATGAATCCCTCGTCTTCTCTTTCCCATATTTCATATTTATTTAGATAGTTGGAAGGAAAGAGGGAGAAATGTGAGGGAGGAGAACCCCATATTCTGGCATGGGGATAACGTGTGGTCCGAAGTTGGCGGTGATACCAGTTGACCAAACACCGGCACATAGACTGATTTGATATGCAGAGTGGCTCCAACTGTAGCCCATGGGATTTACTGTCACTTTCCTCCCAGCACATACACACACACAGACAAACTCTAGTTACTGGAGTCTCCCATTAAGTGTTAACCTCCATATTGACAGGCCTTCACCATCATGGACCAGAACAGAGATGGATTCATTGACAAAAACGACCTGAGGGACACCTTTGCTGCACTGGGTGGGTTGAAGATATATTCTATTATTTATCTATTTGATCAGTTAGGTCAGTGAGAACGTATTCCCGTTTTAAATAACGACCTGGCCTAACTAAAGCAATGGTACTGACCCATGTCTCTGTAACAGGGCGGCTCAACGTGAAGCAGGAGGAGATAGATGAGATGCTGAAAGAGGCGTCTGGCCCCGTCAACTTCACCATCTTCCTCACCATGTTCGGGGAGAAGCTGAAAGGTGAAGTGTGCAAACAAGGGATGCGTTCAGTTGGTTAAACGTCCTGCTACATTTGGCAACAGTACTGAATGTCACTTTCTCCCAAAAGTTTACCAGATGTGTTGCCTGAATCCTAATTTGAATGGCATTTTCCCTCTGAATTTTGTATGTTGTACTCCTATATTGTCCACGTCTGCCTCCCATCAACTTAGTTCTAATATGACGTTTTCTCTGTGTAGGCGCTGATCCAGAGGAGACTATCCTCAACGCTTTTAAAGTATTTGACCCCGAAGGAAAAGGGGTCCTGAGGAAGGACTTGTGAGTACTCGTGTGTGTGTAAACGGGTCTATAGGGTAAAGGCTTTGTGGAGATGGTTAATGTAATCCTAAACGCCTTGTACTTGCTCCACTTCAGTGTGACAGAGATGCTGACGACACAAGCGGACAGATTTACTCCTGAAGAGGTTAGAGCCCAACCAATTTACACTAAACGCACTATAAGCCATATACCCTACACACACAACTATCGAAATACAGCAGACAAGCCATTTTCATTAAATAACTCATAGCCACTCATAATCAGTAACACAACATAGTTCATGCATAAACATGTTGCGTGTTGCTTTGAATATGTTGTGAAGAGCATGATGTGTGCGTCAGTGATTGAGTCACAAAATCTTCTCGCTGGTTTTCTCAGATGGAACAGATGTTTGTAGCCTTCCCACCAGATGTGGCAGGAAATCTAGACTACAAAAACCTTGTGCACATCATCACACACGGAGAAGAGAAGGACCAGGAGTAACTAACTTACTCCCTGCTCCTTTAGCGTGTCTGTCAAAGAGATAGAAATAGAAGCTCTAGACTAGAGAGAATCTAGAGCTTCTATTTCTATGGTCAAAACACAGATCGGCTGACATCTATCATCTCCAGGCTCCATCCACGGTCCTGTGTGCTTGCCCCACCCACTTACCTAATCAGATCAGGTGCAGCCCCACAGTGGAAGAGGAGGAAAATGAACAGGGGGAAACTCACTGACCTCTACCTCCTACAAAAGGCTTGACACTTTTCAACTGGCCTCCTTTTGTGATGCAATATGTTTGCCCCTCATCAGCAGTGGTTAAGGCCAGCTTTTCCCAAACTCGGTCCTCTGGACCCCAAGGGGTGCACGTTTTGGTTTTTGCCCCTAACACTACACAGCTGATTCAAATTATCAAAGCTTGATGAGTTGATTATTTGAATCAACTGTGTAGTACTAGGGCAAAAACCAAAACGTGCACCCCTTGGGGTCCCCAGGACCGAGTTTGGGAAACTCTGGGTTAAGCCAACTGTCAAGCCAAATGTGTGTAAATGGTCTCCTCAGACAATGGTTGAATTCAGGCTACAGCTATTATACAATCTGATCACTGTTCAATAAATCAATTTAACTCGTGTCTTTTGTCGAAAGATCCTCCATTTGTTATTTCTTGCACCTTATGATAATACATTTAGATTTTGAAGCAGGTCCTTTGAGAGCATAACAGCTATTAGATGCTCTTTGTTTACTTGATTGACTGATGACATATTAGAACAAATGTCATCTGTTAAAAGTGACATTCTGTATCAACTCAATAAATCTAGTATATATATCTTTGGCTGTATGCTTCCCTCAATTATTCAATTAACCTCTAACAATTTGTCCAAGTTCATCACATAGCTGCTGCCGCCACCCTGTGTTGTAAATAGCCAAACTAAAAAGATATACCTTCACGCTGTAAGGTTTCATCACTAGCATCAGAGGTTAATCACAATCAGTGTGGGTTGTAAATAGTGTGTAACAGACTTTTCCTAATACTAGCAGCCCACTATGCGAGTTTGTGTGGTTCAATTGATCTCTTCAGTGAGGAAGAGCTTTTCAAACAGTTTATAAACTGATTCAGGGTTTTTAGTTTGGTTTTGGCAACAGTCCTGCCCAGCAGCTGAGGGTATGATGGATCCCCTAAGACTAAGAGCATGGAGCCTTCTTTATTTAGAGAGGAGCCAGTGAGGTAGCAGAGATGGCGGTCTTCTGACAACATACTGGGCTTCAAGGTACAGAGGGGCCTGACACTCTGTCCAAAAATGGGGTTTGGTTTGGAAAGACAAAGCCCCGGTTTATTTTAGTGCATGTGATGACGTGACAGGGTAATGTTACACCGCATGATGCATCAAACAGGCAGACAATAAGCTGCCAGCCAATGATCCCCCTAAAGCCTGTTGTTGCTCCAATGAGCTGATGCCTGGCCATGCTGGGAGTCCTTGACACAGAGGTGCAAAGCCCTGAGTCACCCACTGTTTGTTATTTCATTGCCCAAAATGAAGCATCGTTCCTGGGGTGGTGGACTAGGGATAAGGGCCTAGATGAGCTGTGGTATTTCCACCGATAATGGGAACAAACCTGTTCAAAAGTGTGTGTGTAGGGCTGTTGTGGTGACCATTTAACCACCACACCGGCAGTCATGAGTCATGACCACAGTAAAATTCCACGTGACCATTGATTAACGGTAATCTTCTTTTATGCATTCTGCACATGCTTTGGTAGTAGCCAACTTGCTAATGACCATCAGGTCCTAATGACTTGGTATTCAGGGCTCTATTGTCCCTCTAACCACTCTGACATCAATGCAAATGCAATCGAAAATCACATCAAACCCATTTCATCAATATAGTAGGCCTATAGTACTTTTAAAACTCACCTCACTTTGATGATCAATTTGAAGAAAGAAGTTCAACAGCAGTTTGAAACAATGTAAAACATGGTTGTTGTGGATGTTGTTTCAAAGCCTAACACAACGAAATGGACAGCGCTTTGTAAGGTGATGATTGATTTAAAACACCTGTGTGCATATGAGATCTTATGCATGGATTCATGAGCCAAAGCCCAGAAGAAAAACCTGAATTAAAATTATGATTGTGCCGTTATACAATAAATAGCCTACTGCATATTAGGCATGACAGAAAAACATACAACAAAACTGATTTAAGATGTCTTTGGTACATAATTGGTCTAGCCTATACTCCAAAATTAAACAAATTCTAGTAATCGCCTTTGAAGGTGGACTGTATTATTATGCATACTGGATGGACTGGTTGGTTACCTTACAGTACACTCCAAAGTTTCTATCCATGAGTCTGGGAGAAAACGTATAGCCAAGGCGATGCTGTTGGTTCATTGATTGTGCAAGGCAGGTTACATAGTGTATTTGATTTTGAATAGCCTAGTAATAGGGAATTTTTTACATTATCATAATTAATTGGGTGACATTACCTTTAGCTACAGTGCATTCGGAAAGTATTCAGACCCCTTGACTTTTTCCACATTTTGTTACGTTACAGCCTTATACTAAAATGGATTAAATAGTTTTTTCCCCTCATCAATCTACACACAATACCTCATAAATACAAAGCAAAAACAGGTTATTCTAATAATAAAAAACTGAAATATAACATTTACATAAGTATTCAGACCCTTTACTCAGTACTTTGTTGAAGCAGCGATTACAGCCTTGAGTCTTCTTGGGTATGACGCTACAAGCTTGGCACATCTGTATTTGGGGAGTTTCTCCCATTCTTCTCTGCAGATCCTCTCAAGCTCTGTCAGGTTCGATGGGGAGCGTCGCTGCACAGCTATTTTCAGGTCTCACCAGAGAAGTTAGATCGGGTTCAAGTCCGGGCTCTGGCTGGGCCACTCAAGGACATTCAGAAACTTGTCCCGAAGCCACTCCTACGTTGTCTTGGCTGTGTGCTTAGGGTCATTGTCCTGTTGGAAGGTGAACCTTCGCCCCAGTCTGAGGTCCTGAGCGCTCTTGAGCAGGTTTTCATCAAGGATCTCTCTGTACTTTGCTCCGTTCATCTTTCCCTCGATCCTGACTAGCCTCCCAGTCCCTGCCGCTGAAAAACATCCCCACAGCATGATACTGCCATCACCATGCTTCACCGTAAGGATGGTGCCAGGTTTCCTCCAGACGTGACGCTTGGTATTCAGGCCAAATCTTGGTTTCATCAGACCAGAGAATCTTGTTTCTCATGGTCTGAGAGTCATTAGGTGCCCTTTGGCAAACTCCAAGCGTGCTGTCATGTGCCTTTTACTCAATGCTGCGGAAATGTTTTGGTATTCTTCCCCAGATCTGTGCCTAAACACAATCCTGTCTCGGAGCTCTATGGACAATTCCTTCGACCTCATGGCTTGGTTTTTGCTCAGACATGCACTGCCAACTGTGGGACCTTATATAGACAGGTGTGTGCCTTTCCAAATCATGTCCACTCAATTGAATTTACCACAGGTGGACTCCAATCAAGTTTTAGAAACATCTCAAGGATGATCAATGGAAACAGGATGCACCTGAGCTCAATTTCGAGTCTCCTAGCAAAGGGTCTGAATACTTATGTAAATAACCTGTTTCTGCTTTGTCATTCTGGGGTATTGTGTGTAGATTGCTGAGGATTTGTAAAAATGTAATCCATTTTAGAATAAGGCTGTAACGTAACAAAATACGGAAAAAGTCAAGGGTCTGAATACTTTCCGAAGGCATTGTATACAGTGCTGTGAAAAACTATTGGTCCCCTTTCTAATTTTCTCTACTTTTGCATATTTTTGATACTGAATGTTATCAGATCTTCAACCAAAACCTAATATTAGATAAAGGGAACCTGAGTGAACAAATAACACAACAATTACATACTTATTTCATTTATTTCATAAACCAAGTTATGCAACACCCAATGTCCCTGTGTGAAAAAGTAATTGCCCCCTTTCACTCAATAACTGGTTGTGCCACCTTTAGCTGCAATGACCCCAACCAAATGCTTCCTGTAGTTGTTGATCAGTCTCTCACGTCGCTGTGGAGGAATTTTGGCCCACTCTTCCATGCAGAACTGCTTTAACCTCTACGGGATCGGTGTCCCGTATACGGGACGGTTGAGCTAACGTACGCTAATGTGATTAGCATGACTGTTGTAAGTAACAGCAAACTTTCCAGGACATAGACATGTCTTATATGGGCAGAAAGCTTAAATTATTGTTAATTTAACGGCACTGTCCAATTTACAGTAGCTATTACAGTGAAAAAATACCATGCTATTGTTTAAAAAGAGTGCACAACAACAAAAAACTTATCACGGCCACTGGTTTGATACATTAATCTCTGAAGGTAAATAATGTACTTACATTCTGTAATCTTGCTCTGATTTGTCATCCTAAGGGTCCCAGAGATAAGATGTAGCATAGTTTTGTTTGATAAAATCAATTTTTATATTCAAATGTAGGAACTGGGTTCTACAGTTTGAACCCCTGCTGTCTCTGGCTCCACATCCACCCCGCCCGGCCATCTAGATGTGTGAAAGTTAGTGTATAAGATAATGATCCATCATGTATGACATTCCTGGGAGTGCGTAAACTTACATTTTGTATTACCATATCATTTTTGTATGTTCTCTATAGTTATGTACTTGAAAATGTATCAATTGACCAATTCGGCACATTTGGGCAGACTTGATACAAAATAGTCCAGTATTGCAATGCTTCACTGGATCAATCTGAAACTTTGCACACACACTGCTGCCATTAGGTGTCCAGAATCTAAATTGCGCCTAAACTGCAATATTATATTGTGGCCTTTCTATGGGTCCCATTATGTCTGGCGAATACCAAACACTGCATTCCACAGTAAGAACATTATACCAAATCAAATCAAATTTTATTGGCCACATGCGCCGAATACAACAGGTGCAGACATTACAGTGAAATGCTTACTTACAGCCCTTAACCAACAGTGCATTTATTTTTAATAAAAAAGTAGAATAAAACAACAAAAGTGTTGAGGGAAAAAAAGAGCAGAAGTAAAATAAATTAAAGTAAAAAATAACAGTAGGAAGAGCAGAAGTAAAATAAAATAACAGTAGGATGGTCAAGCATAGTGGTGGTAGTGTGATGGTTTGGGGATGCTTTCAGATGTTGTGGCAGGACTTGAAACGAGCAGTTCATGCTTGAAAACCCACAAATGTCACTGAGTTAAAGCAGTTCTGCATGCAAGACTGGGCCAAAATTCCTCCACAGCGATGTGAGAGACTGATCAACAACTTCAGCAAGCATTTGGTTGCAGTCATTGCAGCTAAAGGTGGCACAACCAGTTATTGAGTGTAAGGGGCAATCACTTTTTCACACAGGGGAACTGGGTGTAGCATAACTTTATTACTTAAATAAATAAAATAAGTATCTTTTTTTTCTTATTATTTGTCAAATCGGGTTCCCTTTATCTAATATTAGGTTTTGGTTTAAGATCTGATAACGTCCAGTATCAAAAATATGCAAAAATAGAGAAAATCATAAAGGGGGCAAATATTTTTTCACGGCACTGTATGTGTCCCTCATTCTAGAAGTCTGGTTAGTTCCACATGTTCCACCTTTGCTTTGCCTATGTGAGCTATTGTGTGAGTGTTACATATACTGCCAATTTGGTTGCACTTTATTTGACGGTACAGAAATGACCAGGTATTTACTTAGAAATGACATAGTAAAATGGTAATTACACAGTAATAGCTTATAAATATCTTGTTAGGGAATCTTTCTTTGGGATTCATTAAAATCATTGTTCTTAGAGCTTTAGCATTGCCAGCCGGCTGAGAGAGAGAGGGGTTGTCCAACAATGTCCACCTACCGATAAACTGGGTGACGTTGTCATCAGTGACCTGAGAGCTGCAGCCCAGCTTGCCAGTGATAGGAGCAGGGTTACATTTCATATTTTCAAACAGGTGGGCGATGGCCGTCTTCTGCTGGTCCAAGAACTTCAGAACCACAGTCTACTGGCTCTCCAGATTATTGGCCAGGCCACGACGCTGTTCCAGTTCTCCCTGAGAGGGACCAAAGACAAAAAGTAAACGAGATGTAGGGGAGAGAAACTGATTGGCATGGTCGGGGAAAACAGACAGATAAATGCACAAGGAAGCATCAGCAGACCCATTAGAGCTGTGTTAAGTTGTGCACAGTCAAACTTCCAAAAACCTTACCTCCAGCTCCTTGAGCTGGCCCTCCCACTGTTGATCATACTGCTTGTTCTCCAGCTCAAAGCGCAGGATCTCAGTCTGTGGTGGAGAGAGCAGGAGAACACAGTCATACTGTATAGCCACAGCTAGAGCCATTACAATACTAACAGTATAGAGGGGTGGGGGAAAAAATATTATATCATTTAGATGTTTTCTTTGAACTTGTCTAGTTTAACAAGTTTACAACACATGAACTCCCATCCTGTGTGTGTGTGTGTTAGACCCTGAGCTTGTTGATGCGGTCCTTCAGCATGGTGCTATTGTTGTTCAGCTCGTTGATGTAGTTGAAGTAAACAAAGCTCTTCTCCTCGTTCTCCACAAAATTCCTGCCAATCTGACGCAGGTCGCTGTCGCTGCCCACCTTCACGAGCAGCCGGTGCACCGTCTGGTACGTCTCAAGACTCTCTCCTCCCATTCGCTCACGCTGAGCCTACTTGGTCTCTGCACCAATGACAAAACACTGCCATGAAGCATTGATCAATAAGGCTGATGTAGCTCAAGAAGGGGCGGCTCTAGCCTCTATGCTAAACAATCAAACATTTAATGAACAACTGTAGGATTTATAATGCTAAGCATGATATTCTAGAACGTACTTCTCTTTTTGGCCTCTTCGTCCTCACCCATGGGGGCGCTCTCCTAGAACTTCTTTACCATGAAGCTGCGGAGTTTGATCTCGTGGTCGATGACCCTCTTCAGCTCAGTCGTCTCAGTGTGGCAGAGGGATGTGTCCTTCTTGCTACGCTCCCTCACAGCTAGCATGTGAGCCAGGGCCTCGGACCTAGAACACACACACAGACCACATTTCTTAGCTGGGCAGGCGCAAGAAAAGGCTTCTCCACACCACAAACACACAACAAACAGACACTTAATCAAAACATAAGACGCACACACAGACACAGTGTTTGTGGCTCTGACCTCTGGTCGTAGGCGAGGACAGACTTCTCCACGAGGTTTTCCATGAAGTTGTGCTGGGACAGCAGCTCTCTGCTCAGACGCTGGTATATATGGGCTAAGGTGCATCTCTGGCGCTGCAAGTGGTCAATCTCATCACGCAACGAGTGGTTCCTGGTGAGCAGCTTGTCAAAGCTTCTAATAGCCTGCAAGACCACAGGATAAGAACAATATAGAAAGGATGCTCAAATCCCATCACACATTGCAAACCAGTTGGGCCGATGAGGAACATAACACACTTGAGGAATTTAACATACTACACAGAACATTACAAACTGGCTCTTTTTAGAACAACTTCGAACGCGGAACGCCTCTCGGCCAATCAGATTTGACCATTTAATAATCAACATTACATACTGGCTAGGCTACATCTTGCATAGAATCCTTTTGATGTTCAGTATTGATTCATAGCAGAGAGCGAAGAGGAAGTGAGACATCCACTCTCAATTTTTTTCTGTTTCAATGGAAGTCAATGACCGAAGTAGACCAGACCCAGCTGCTATCTCATTGGTGTCTATGGGAGAGCCGCCCCCTTAATTAGACAGGAATTTACAATTTGTTTCAATGGTAAACGGTCTGAGTGAACGACCTTAATTTATCTTTCTTCATAGCCAACACAACAAATAAATGGTTAGTGTGATTGTGTGAGTGTGTAATGGATGTAGGTTTATGTGATTGTGTGAGTGCGTAATGGATGTAGGTTTATGTGTTTGTGTGTGTGTGTGTGTGTGTGTAATGGATGTAGGTTTATGTGATTGTGTGAGTGTGTAATGGATGTAGGTTTATGTGATTGTGTGAGTGCGTAATGGATGTAGGTTTATGTGATTGTGTGAGTGCGTAATGGATGTAGGTTTATGTGATTGTGTGAGTGCGTAATGGATGTAGGTTTATGTGATTGTGTGAGTGCGTAATGGATGTAGGTTTATGTGATTGTGTGGTGATGATGACTGCAGCACCTGTTTGACGTGGTCCTCCATGATGCGGATGTGTTTCCTCTGTGAAGGGGTCTCCTCAGGGTGTGGATCCTACCCCCCCATCTCCTTCTTCCTCTGCATCTCCTTCATCTGAGGAAGAGGAATATTAGCATGTAAAAAAGTATTTATCCTAGCCTGGCACCCAGATCGGTTTGTGCTGCCTTCCCTACTCCTATATAACCATAGGTCATTTTCATGCCAAGCAGATCTGGGACCAGGCTATCATTGTCCATCCCACTGACTGATCTGAGAGAGCTTTAGCAAGTAATTTAGCAACAGTCATTCTGATTGGTCTTACCTTGGTGTCCAGACAGCCAAGGTGTTCCTTCTGTTTCCGGATGGCAACCAGGTAACTGTCATTGTCCACGAGGAGTCGCTGGTATTGCTCATGAAGGTTTTCCTTCTTTCTCTGAATATTTTTGGACATAATTCTGGCCTGTCTGTGACATTATTGTATAAATAATCAAATGGTAAATAATCAAATGGTAGTCTGTTTCAAAGGCTTGATCAAGCCATACAACATGCCTAAATCAATGACAGGCAAATCAATGACAGGCAAATCAATGACAGGCCTAAATCAATGACAGGCCTATCAGGCTACAACAAACCATTTTTCAGATGAGATAGCACTACTCACCAGTGTAGGCCACCTAGCCTTCAACTTTTTTGTTGGTGAATAATTGTTTTAACTTATCTCACTGTTAATAAGTATTTCACCAATGTATTCTCGTTTTTTTTCTTTCTAAATTTGAGTAACCTACTGGTAAATTATTTGCGCTATAAAATGTAATGGAATCATGTTAGTCTGGGTCTTGTGCTAGCGAGGATCGAAAATAAAGATATTCAGGAGATTTTAGAACACTTTTTTAAAATTCTTAAATAATTCCGCGATGATCACTTTGGACGCATTGCCAATTGTTCAATCATAAGCGTTCATCAGCGTTATACAGATTGTCGTAAATGGCTCAACATAAGATCGGGTTGATTTATTATTTAGGCCAGGGTTTCCCAGCCTACATGGACGAAATGCCTACAATAAACAGAAAATAGACATTGGTTGGAAATTGTAATTGTGTGCGTGTCATTTATCTTCTTACCAAATATTGAGCTTCCCTCAGCCGAAACCAATTGGCGGGGCTGCCATTTCGCTGAAAAACTAATCCCATATTATAGCTTTAATCACAACATCCCTAGTTCGCCCACTGGCGCTAGATGGCAGACTATCGCTAAAAGTTTAAATGCACCAGCCTACTGGTAAAACTTGGAGGCTCCAGGTGGGGGCGAGCTGCGTGTCCCCATGACTGCATTTGTCTCCTCATCGAGTGTAGCAGGCAGCAGCTAAATTGAAAACTTATTTGCTGCATTCAGATCTCTGGAATTTCTGTGTAGAAGCCAGAGTGTAGACATAGATCAGAGCTACCAACAATCGAATCAAAGGACAACCGTCCCGGTTTGCAGTGTAGAACCGACTCCTGCTGCTACCACCATGGATGATTTAGGTAAATTCGTTTGTTATTATTTCCTAGCTAGAGCTATCGAATTGTTTCCCATATTTTCTTACTGCCAGATTACCTGGATATCGCTCATTCCTCGGCGCACAACAAGTCTGTTAATAGCTATAGCACAGGACAACAGATGTCGCTAACGTTATAGCCAGTTGTTACCCAGCTGTAGTTAGCCTATAACACAGCGTGGGAATCGGCAGGTTGGAGGCCCGCTGTGGTTACGAAAATTGGATTTTTGCCTTGGCGTCATGGACGGAGGAATAGGCTATTATTGTGAACTCCTGCTAGCTGTGAAGGAATGCTCCCAAATTTGTTTTCAAAGCCCAATTTGAACATAACGTTAGCAATGTACATGTACGGCCAGCTCAAGCAAGCAGGCATGGAGGGATTCAAGTGATTCAGCCTCTAGTTTTTAACCGCCTCGCCACATATCTGTTGACTTGCATATCAACTTTTTAATTACATGACAGATTGCCAATTGGATTTTGCGAGTCGGTATGCAGCATTGCCGCGTATACAACATTGCTGACGGGCAATGCAACTAAATGATAACAGCGACTATGCATGCACTCATTTTGCAACATTCGCACTTTTCATGACATGAGGAATCTGGTGACCGAGGTGCACACCACTGCTACTTTACAAGTTGGGGCATTTGTTGAACCATAGATTTATAGCCTTAAAGAAATCTGTTCATTCTACTGCTCTGCTGCCGTTTTTCTTTTTGCTTCTACTTATTTAAAGAGTTCATGCTTATCTCTCAATGTAGATTTTTTTTTTTATATTGAATATTTCTGTTACCTTTCTTTTTTTAACACGCTAAATTGTCGGAGGGCACGACACATTTTAGGCTACAGCAGCAAGCTGGGGAGTTCTTTCCAAGAGCACCTGTAACTGTTTGCATCTGGGTTTCCCCTCTATCCTGGCCTGTCATATTTCATTTAAGCCAATTATGGGGTCCATGTACAGATGATGAGTAGGGAGTTCATTGTGCTATCTGAGGGCCGGTCATGCAGAAACAGAAGGCCCCCAGCCCAGTTGGACTAGTGGGGTTCATTGTGCATGCTGTCCACAGTGTGACACCATCTGTTGTCTTACAAAATATATTAATCTTCTTTTACAATTAACGTCCTAGCTCCACACGAACTAACCAAGGCGTATGGGCAGATCAGTGTCAGCAAGCAACCTTAATGGGCTTATCAGTGAATAGTGGTGAAAACCTGAATAAACACGCCTCACAAAATGGCTAGCCTACAATACATGCTATTGGTTTGCTGTTAACAACATGGAATGGTTGTACTGTTGCTTCTGTCATCATTAGGGAACCCCCACAAGTGATTAGAGAAAGACCTCCCAGTTCATAATTGTATCAGTCTCAAAACAGACTACAGTATTGTGTTTACAGGTTTTGCACAGCCAGCTCTCACACTCATTCAGCAGTGCAATATTGCAGGGGGAAAATTGTATTTGTGGGTGTGTCTGGGTCTAGGTCTGTCTGTTGGACATGGGAACCATGAGGTAAAATTTAGTCAGTCATCTGAAAAACACATTATTGGATGCAAAAAATGCATTTAGTTGAAAGCTAAAAATGCATCAGAATAACATCTGAACTTCAAGACAGGTAATAAACTGTTCTGTAAAAGACATATACCTCATGCTATTATGATATTGATATGGGATACCATGTAATGTGAGGCCCCTTTTAAAGGTCTAATCTGATTTTTGATGTTAAAATTGTCGCGCCGACACTTGAAGGACTGAGTGAAGCGGTATCACATGAAATGCGCAAGAACAGCATCGTACCTACTGAGTCTTTTGCCTGATTGACACTATAGGGGACAACCTGAACCGTACTGTACTGGCTCGGATATATTATTTTCACATTGTCCTTTCCAGCACGCTTCCAGCAACTATGGTGGATGCATAACCAGGTCAGCTCAGTATAGCTCGGCTTTGCTCAGTTTGACTTGGCTCAGTAGTGTGAAAAGGGTAGTAGTTTGTTTTCCAATGGAGGAGAAAGTGGCACTTACCTATGTGACTGTGCCCACCTAAGTGGCATAGTTGAAATCATACCTTTCTTCTAAATGACCAAAGGGAAATCACCCTTCCTTCCTAATGTTATCCTTAGAGTCCAAAGAAAGTCATGCCTGAATGTTTGTCACACTAAACCCTGTCAATATTTATGGCCACACGGCTTGCGTCCCAAAAGGCACCCTATTCCCTACATTTTTACCGAATTAGAGTTTAGGACCAAACTTTACCAAGTAATTACTCAGTTATTTAATTGAAAAAGGACCGGGAAAGTTTATTCTAGGTAGGTAGAGGTATTTCATGAAAAGAGGGGCCAGCAAGTTCGTCTTCATGTCTCTGAGGTGTTAAGGCGGCAGCCCCCACGTAGCCTCTCTCTCTCTCTCTCTCTCTCTCTCTCTCTCTCTCTCTCTATCTCTCTCTCTCTCTCTCTCTCTCTCTCTCTCTCTCTCTCTCTCTCTCTCTCTCTCTCGCGCTTTATGGACTCTGTGTGCATAAAAACACACACACACGAACGCAGGAGGAGGATCCTGTGCACTCGTCTCACACTAACATTCGAGCACACCCTACTTCCTACTCCTCTTAAATGTGTTTGCTGACTTGTCAGTGAGTGGATGTGAGAGGCAAAAACACACCAGACCACTCAACTAGTATTTTCTGTTATGTGTTATGTGCCATGTGTTCCACATTTTTACATTTACACTGCACAAAAAATATAAACGCAACATGTAAAGTGTTGGTCCCATGTGTCATGAGCTGAAATAAAAGATCCCAGAAATTTTCCATGCGCACTAAAAGCTTATTTCTCCCAAATGTTGTGCACAAATTTGTTTACATCCCTGTTAGTGAGCATTTCTCCTTTGACAAGATAGTCCATCCACCTGACAGGTGTGGCATATCAAGAAGCTGATTAAACAGCATGATCATTACACAGGTGCACCTTGTACAGGGGACAATAAAAGGCCACTCTCTAAAATGTGCAGTTTTGTCAGACAACACAATGCCACATATGTCTCATGTTTTGAGGGAGTGCGCAATTGGCATGCTGACTGCAACATCGTTTTAGAGAATATGGCAGTACATCCAACCAGCCACACAACCGCAGACCACGTGTAACCATGCCAGCCCAGAACCTCCACATCTGGCTTCTTCACCTGCGAGATCGTCTGAGACCAACCACCCGGAAAGCTGATGAAATTGTGGGTTTGCACAACCGAATAATTTCTGCACAAACTGTCAGAAACTCAGGGAAGCTCATCTGAATCCCGGTTTCAACTTTATCGGGCAGATGGCAGACAGTGTGGTGTCGTGTGGGCGAGCGGTTTGCTGATGTCAACGTTGTGAACAGAGTGCCCCATGGTGGCGGTGGGGTTGTGGTATGGGCAGGCATAAGCTACGGACAACAAACACAATAGCATTTTATCGATGGCAATTTGAATGCACAGAGATACCGTAACGAGATCCTGACGC